ATAGAAGGCTATACTAAGCCTACGCTTTATATGCGCTTCGAAGCAGAAGTCGCTCTAAAACTAGCTAGTAAAAAGCGATCTACGATCGCTAACAATGCCTAATAGCACTCTAAAACGCCTAATTACCTCCCTTTAAAGGATATCCGCGAGTTCTACTACTATATACTTCTTCGTCGTTAGGATAAAAAGGCTTATCTTCGTATAGCGGTCGACTATTATAAGGATCGTAGTATATACGTAGGTACCGAGCTTACTCGGCGAGAGATCGGTAATAAAGTCTATCGTTAATTCTTGCTATAGTCGGGTTAGTATAGGCAGCGTAGCGAGCTCGCCGTATAGGCGATAGCGCTTCGCCTTCGACCGTTAACAAATTCTATAGGTACGGATATAGGCTGTAATATCCTCGGCTATCTTCGGCTAGAAGTACTTTCGGCGTATTAGGTCTATAGTCTTAGCTATACTAAAGTGTCTAGCTAAAGGGTCGCCGTAGTATATACGTATTAGTTACGTATATAAGGCGTAGTCCTTAGGGACATATAGCGTATCGCTGTAATAAATAAGGTTACTACGGCGTAAATAGCTAGGCGGGAGGTTAGAACTACTTAACGAGGCTAAGCTACCTAACGGTAAGCTTGTCTCGTATAAGCCTCCTCCTCTCGCTTGCTCTAGCTACTATAAAGTGCGTACGAAACTAAGGATTATATTAGGCGTCTTGTAGTAGGGCCTGTTATTCCTAACGATAGTAGCCGCTACTCTTGCGGGACTGCTAATAAAACCCTTGCGTTCCGCTAGCGCTATACTAGCGTCTCGCATCCCTATATATATAATAGAGATGCGTTTTATAATCGGCTCGATATCCTTAGGCAGATTTAACTATAGAGCTAGTTTCGACTACAATATAGGGAGAAGATTGTTTACCGCCTGCGACTCGCTCTCGTAGTCGCTACGTCGTAAAGGTATATCGGCTAGATTTCGTTTACTAGCCCGATATTTAATAGTAAAGTTAAAAGGTATAAGGAAGGTCGCCTATCTTGCCTACCTTCCGACAAGCTACTTTATCTTTATAAAGCTCTTAAGATTAGCGTAGTCGACAACTACGCGGGTCGTATACTAAGCGCTATCGAGGTACGGGCGCTAATGCTTAAAGGACTCGACAACCGCTAGGAGCTCCTAGTTATAGGTCTTATAATTCGTCTTAGCTAGAACTATTTTTCGTAACTAGAAGGCAATAGAGTACTAGTTCCTATCTTCGCTTTGTTATAATATAATCCCTACTAAGGCGAACGTAGAGGCATCGGTTTCGATACGTAGGGGCTTCGTAGGATTATAGTATCGCAATATCGAGGCCGAGCTAAAGGTAGCCTTTAGCTAGCGGAACGCTTACTTCTCGCTTTCGCCCTACGGGACCTACCCTAGCTTTCGGCTATTTATAGCTCCTTTCGATAGAGCAGTTAGTAGTATAACGATCTAGGAGTAATTAGGGATAAACCTCTAGTAGAAGTTATAGAATCCGAGGAAGGATTGAACCTCTTTTAGCGTTAATAGGCGAGGCTATTCGGTAATAGCGTTTACCCTACGCTAATCTATCGATATGCCTTCGGTACTAACGATAAACCCGAGGAATTCGACTTCTTTCTTCTAGAAGGAACATTTCTTTCTATTCGTATATAAGGCGAACTTCCGGAGCCGCGTAAGGATAGCGCGTACGTCTCGTACGTAGTCCTCTCGCGTTTTGCTATAGATAAGAATGTCGTCGAGGTAGACGATATAGCAAATGTTAATAAGGCTAGCTAATGCCCTATTAATATATCCTTAGAACGTAGTAGGGGCATTAGTAAGCCTAAAAGGCATTACCTTATACTCGAAGTGCCTATACCGCGTATAAAACGTAGTCTTCTACTCGTCGCCTCGCTTAATATAGATACGATAATACGCATCCTATAGGTCTAAGGACGTGTACTATTCGGCGTCCTTAAGCCTATTAAGCGTTTCGCTAATAAGGGGTAGGGGGTAACGATTTTTGATAGTAATCTCGTTTAGCCCCCTATAATCGACATAGAGTCTTAGACTGCTATTCTTCTTTAGTACGAACAGGATCGGCGTACCCGCCTCGCTTATACTAAGCTAGATCTAATCGTTGTCTAAGGCTAAACTTAGGTAATTACGAAGGTCGCTAAGCTCTCTTCCTAAAGAATAGTAGAGAGGTTTATATAGCGGCTTCGTTCTAGGGATTAGGTCGATCGTATACTCTACGTCTTCGGAGAGCTTGCGTCTCGCTTTAGGCGTTATTATAAAGACGTCTTCGAAGTCTTTAAATTCTTCTAGTAAGGAGGAACCTTTAGCAATGTCGCGGAGCTAGCGAACGCTAATCGCGTATACGTATAGAGCGTTACGTATATCCTTCTAGAATTCCTATAGTTCCCGTACGCGTATCGAACGCGCTACGGCTTCGTTCCTATAGGTCTAGGCATCTATCGAGCTATCGACGATTACCTTTTAATCGCGCCTCTAAGGCCTACTAAGAATAATATTAGGGAGGGGCATCTCGAAAGCGTAGAACACTCCGGTAGTAATACGTTCTTAGCCTATAGAGTCGGCGATCCGTAAGCGTAGATAATACGCTCCGTAGTAGTATCCTCGGTCGCCCTAGAAACTATCGGTACTAGGTAGTACGGCATTAACAATCCGCTAAGGCTAGTATCGTAGAACGAATTCTTAAGATACTATATTAATATTAGTAGTATTATCTAATAAGCATTCGACGGACACTTCCCCTTCTTATATAACGATTGCTCCGCGTACGCGTCCCGTAGGTACTACTACTACTAAGCTACTTAGTTGAGATTCCGCACCTATCCCTAGCTCTTAGGAGGTACCTTGTCTTTTCCCTTAGCCTTTAGGTCGTTCTTCTTTTCCTTAGCGTTAGCGGCTACCTTACGTACTATAGGGTTATCGTCTTTCTAGAGATAGTAGTTAGGGTATACGTTCTTATAATAGCCTTTCTAGCGATAGCTATAATATTCGACCTTGCTAATATTATACCTGCCTTGCGAGTTATCGCCCTTCGTATGCTTTCCGCCTACGCTACGGTCGCGATTTAACTGCTGCTTACGGGCCTAACTATTAGATCGACGCTTCTTACCTTTACTACCTCCGGTTTTATCGTAGTTACGATCCTTGCGTTTGCTAGATAGCTTATTAGGGGTCTCGATGTACGTCGTAAGCTCTACGAGTTCGTAACGCGTCGTTAGTACCGCATAGTATTTAATAATCGCGCTACGAATCGCCGGCTAGAGTTTAACGAGGAGATAGCGGATCCTATACTCCTCGCTATAGTCGCTAAGTTAATTTTTAAGCACTACGAGCTTAAGGGCAAAGCTTTAGACTAACTGTCTCTTACGCTAACGGGCCGCCTTATACTCGAGGGTTACGTCTAGTATACGGTTTATAGAGTCCCCGACGTAGTCCCGATAGAAGGTTTTAAAGTCCTAGTAGGTGTAATTTTGTAGGTCCTTAAGGCTGTTTTTATTATGCTATCGCTCCTACGTATCGCCTACGAGGTATATAATACTATAAAGCACCTTGCTTTCGTCTATATAATAGGTAGCTCTAGATAGTATAAAGGTAATAGAAAGTTCTCGAAGGAATCGCCTCGACTCCTTAATTATATTGCCTTTAAAAGGCTTAGGTTCCTTTAGGCGAGGCTTAATAGCCGTAAGACTAGCGACTACGTAGCTTATACTAGGTATAGGGGCTACGCTTAGCGCACTTCCGGAAAGAGGTAGTCGATATAAGACAGATTTAGCTCTCTAAGATTTAGGCCTCTAAATCGACTTGTTAGCTAATTCTTCCTCGTCCTTATTATCGTCGTCGCCTAGGGATAGAGTCCTTATAAGACTCTCGCTAGCGGTACCGCTACTCGGAGCTAGCGCATCGCCGGCGTCCCTAAGGGTACGAAGTCGCGCATTCTCTCGCTTAGCTTCTTAAGTCTAGACTTCTAGCCTAAGCACTTCTTACTTAGCTAGAAATCGTTCGAGCTATAGGCGGGTCGCTTCTCGGTATACCTAATATTCGGCTTCGTTTTATTGTATCGCCGCGTTGTTTTCTAATACTATAGGCGCTCCTAATATATTATTCTACGCGTTTCCCGCGCCCGGCGCGTTCGGATCGCTTGCGTTTATCTTTCGGGGTTCTATAGGCCGCTACGAAGGGTAGACAGTTTAGAACTATAAGAAAATAGGTATATAGCAACGTATAGAACATCCTCTACTAATCTTAGTAGTAGATAGTAGAACTAAACCGTGCCTTTCTTAGAATAGGGCAGAGCGTTTACTATTAACTAGGCTACGTACGGATAGTATATATACTAAGCTAGTAACTAAGTATATCTATACGAGCGACCGAGCTTTTCCGCGTATACGCTAAGCAGGCTTTACGCTAGCGTAGTAGTACTGCAGTATACGTAATAACATTACATAATTGTTATATAGGCTTACTAAGGTAGGATAGGAGACTTTACTTAATTAGGTTCTTATACTTTTATCGATATATCGCAGTTCTCGAAGAGGTATAGGACCTAGTTTATCGTAGCGGCGGAATATATAGCGGCGGCGGCAGAAGAGGCGGAAAATAGAAGTACTAGTAACAATACCTCGAATTAGTCTATACTACTAGAAATACGGCTTCGTTTTAAACGATATATAGCCGAATAGCGGTTAGAGAACACACACACCGCTTAGCAACGATCTACTAACAAATTTGTTAGGCGGGCGGTATGCGGGGGTAATTGAATCCTCCGACGATCACGTGTGGCCAGAACTTTTCGAAAACACAGTAGCAGCAGCGGGATGGGAGGTGGTGTTGTTGGCGATCAGGACGCGTCGAATACGTCAACGCGAAGAAGAAGTCTTGGCAAAACCAGTCAGCCGTGATTTCTTCCTGACTTCCTCTGTCTATCTGCCTCACCATTACAAGATCACAACCTCTTCCAGCATGCGAGTATGACCGGTATCGTTGAATGCGCTGACGTGTATGGCGAGCTGCACCAAACACCCATAGCGGAGCTGCAGTGGCGTCCAGCAGCCTACGGCATCGTGATCAAGGACAAGCAGGTCCTGCTTGTGCGCCAATTTGGTGGCGAATACGATTTGCCTGGAGGTGGCGTCAACATTGGTGAAGATCCAAAGACAGCGGTGATGCGTGAGATTATGGAAGAGAGTGGCATCGAAGCAAAAGACCCTGTGCTACTCGGCATGGAGTCATCCCTATTCAGAGCCTCTCACTCCGACAACAAATCCTACCACAGTCTGCTTTTTTACTACAACTGCAGCTATGTGTCTGGAGAGATATCCATTTCGCATCTTGACGAGGTCGAAAGGCAGTATGTCGACACCGCTGAATGGGTTCGATTGGACCTAATTGACAGCATTAAAGTTTCTAGCACAGTTGACTACAGGCCGTATATCAAGCAAGCTTTTTCCGAGATGTAGGTCCGCAGTGAACCGCCGCATACCAGGTATCACTAGGAGAAGGGCAGAGGCTTGAGCAATTGGGCTTTGCTCTCAATACCATGGTCCAAAATGGGCCGCTTTGTGAATGAATGCAGACTTTCTTCTCCGTAGAGCGTCAGATGTAGGATGTACTTGTTCTGCGAAAGATATCACGCCTTCCTGTTGCTTCTCAGATCATCTGCGAGAGCAGAATACCTATGCTTGCCTCCATAGATTTGATTTGCCCAACAGATGCAGTTTGATGATGAGACATCCTCCAGCTATTGAACAGCCTCGGCTACACTTGCCAAAGGTAGAGACCGACCTTGAAATGTTCAGCCTGAAAATCCAGGCCAGCAGAACAGCGACCTCATCACTGCGATGCGCTCTCACTATGCTCAAGCATTCACGACCATGACGATATAGTACACCCCGAACCCAAACGACTCTCTCACCCTCCCGCCTACCGCCAAAATGTCCAAACAACCTCTCTCCCAAACCTCCGAAGACGAAATCATCAACCCAAAACTCAACGTCTCCTGCCTCGACTTCCTCCTAATCGAACTCGTCCCACTCGCCCAAAGAATAACCGAACAACTCCATGCACGCGAACAAGCCCTCATAGAAGAGTTCCAGAAAAGCAAGATTTTCAAAAATAACGATGATGCGGGAGACGCGAGCAAAGACACAAAAGCCCCAACGCCAGCCCCAACAGCAAGCGTAACAGGCACAGCAGGAGTCGAAACCAGCACAATCGCACCCGCCGGAGCAGGAACTATACACATGGACGATGAGACCCGCGAAGCAGTATTCTGGCGTTTAGACGGATTAGGATATCGAGTAGGACAAGGTCTTGTTGAGCGGTAGGTAGGCAGACAACCCCAAATCACTCTTCCTCCCACCCTACCTTTTCCACAAATCAACAAACCCAACTAACAACTATCTGTCTGTCTTTTCAAGGTTCTCCGCCAACAAACCGCGTCCAACAACCCCTCTCGACGCCATAAAATTCATCTGCAAAGACCTCTGGATTTTACTCTTTCGCAAACAAATCGATAATTTGAAAACCAATCATCGAGGAGTTTATGTCTTGACGGATGTGAGGTTTCAGCCTTTGAGTCGAATGTCTGTGGATCGCAGAGCTGGGCCGAAAGCTGGGGAAGATGCTTTGAGGAGGGCGCAGGCTGTGAGTGGATCGACTTTTTCTTTTTTCCGCATGTTGACGCTGAAGCTGACTGTCTTGACCCAATCCAGTTTCTTTACTTCCCATGTGGTGTTGTTCGAGGTGCGCTACAGGGACTGGGATTGGATGTCACGGTTACGGCAGAGACGACGGAGATTCCTTCTGCCACTTTTCAGATCAAGACGAAAGGTGCCAAGGCTTGAGAGAGGTGCAATTTTTGAACATTCGCTCTGAATTCCGAGGGCAAGAAGATCGGGCTCTCGGAATTGCCGGTACAGACAGGTGAGGCAAAGATCACCCTCCCAAAGTGCTGCCATATAAGCTCGGGATCATGCTAGCGCCTTGAACATCGACATGCGACGGCACAGCGATGGAGGTGGTCAGACACTGATCAGGATCACATGCCAAGCGGTCGAAGTGTTCAAGGCAAGGATACAGAATGTGCCCGATTTGATGCGCGCGGCCCCATAGAGGCCGTAAGCAGAGCCTTGAGATGAGTGGAAAGAAATTGGGAAATGGAGCGCCATGTCTGCAGGGAACAGCTTTTGATTCTCATGCATCGCTCTTCTAGCCCACGTACCACGAGTCATCATGGCCCGCGCGGCAGAGACTCCCAGCGTCTCGCATCATTGAGAAATTCCACGCTCCGTCTTTCTGAAGCAGATCAACACTGCCAAACTCTACTCCCTAGGACAACTGTCAGCACACTTCAGACAACAAGATCTTGACGGCCCTCACTTCTTTGGTGGATTGAGCACGAACTCAATACCCTTCTCAATATTGCCCTTGAGACCCTCGTAGCATTTGGTGAGAAGCTTCTTCTCGAAGTCATTGGCATCCTTGACAACATTGATTGCCTTCGATGCACCCTCCTTGCCGAGCTCGACTGGGACCGAGAAGTATTCAAGGCCGGTCTCCTTCACGATAGCATCGCCGCCGTCGATACCTGGAAGGTACACGAATGTTGGCTCAATGATACCAGACTGGCCCTTGGCAGCCTGCATGACCTTCTCTGCGAAGCGGAATCCGGCGTAGGCCATGGAGAGAGTGGCGGAACCTGCACCGTCCTTGGCCTTGACGACCTCATCACCACCAAACTGGACGCCTGGGGATGAAGTCAGTGAATGCGTACAGACAGAAAGACCATAATCTTCACTTACGAGTCGTGAGAGCCTCGAGCTTGTCGGCTGGGATCTCGACGGGTGGCTCAGCCTTGGAGAAGAGCGGCACAATGGTCTCGCCGGAGTGGCCACCAATGACTGGAATGACGGTCTTGGATGGGTCCTTGGTGCCGGTGATGCCCTGTACGAAGGTCTCGGCGCGGACAACATCGAGGGTGGTCACACCGAAGAGCTTCTTTGGGTTGAATTTGCCAGCCTTCTTGAGCACCTCGGCGGCGATTGGTACAGTGCTGTTCACTGGGTTGGAGATGACCAGAATGTATGCATCTGGGCAGTTCTCTGCAATGCCCTGGACGAGACCTTGCACGATACCGGCATTGATCTTGAAGAGATCGTCACGGGTCATGCCTGGCTTGCCTGCGAATCGTCATTTGTCAGCGCCGTTTTGCAAAAGGCGCATATGCTCCTTCCGACTTCTTCCTTATGCCAAGCCATTGGGCCGAGCTGCGAGTGTGCTCGGTGGTGTGTACCTACGTGGAATACCGGCTGGAATGACGACGATGTCGGCGCCCTTGAGCGCCTTCTTGAGACCCTCTCCATTCTCCGGGAGGTAGCCATCAATGGTGGCGACGGATGAGATGTGGGAGAGATCCGCGGTGACACCAGGGGTGTTCACGACATCGTAGAGTGACAGGTGGTCGACGAGAGGGCAGGCCTTGAGGAGGAGGGAAAGAGGCTGGCCAATGCCGCCGGCGGCACCTGCAACGACTAGTGATCTGTTAGCATTGAATCAAGCGTAGCAAACATTGCTTTGCTATGGCTGTCAGAGTAGTGATTGAAGGCGTGATGTTAGTGTCACTGCTATTCGCGCTGACGGGATTCTCAAGTGTGACAGCTGATGGCCGTAGCTGCCCCCCGAGGGAGCGGTGTGTCGACTGTGATTCAAATGAAGATGAAGATGAAGTGTTTCTCCTGCCCTGCCGTTGCCGACTACGTGAGGAAAGTGAAGATAGAGACTTACCGGCCTTCATGTTTGCTCTGGTGGATTTCTTCGGGATGTGTACGTGAGGGAAGTGTGGCCGGTCAATGGATCTCGGAGTTGATGAGGGAGGTCGAGCAAACGTTGATGAAGAAGCACAGTTTTACAAATAGGGTTTTGTGAGCTGTCTGGCGGTGGAAGCTGCAGCGTGCGAAACAGACCGCGGGGAGATTGATGGATAGTGGGGCGTGAGAGCACAGACCAGACCCTTGTCCAGATCTCCACCGCGACCGCGACGTCAACCTTGATGATGTTCAAAGTGAATTGCGCAATCGCTTGACCAACATCCATCATGGGCCGACTGCAGCTATACGTAGGAACTTCATAGCCGCTCTCACTCTCCATAAGAACCGAAAACAATACTTCTCCATCACCATTTCCTGACCCACTAGCACCTCACTACCGTGAAACACCCATCACAACTACTCACAATGACCACCTCATCACAACCAAGCACCGCATCCCTCCTCTCCGCCTCCGAATCCAGAATCTCCTGCTACGAACTCACAAACACCTCTCCCATCCCGGACACCCGAATCCACGAAATCATCACCCACACCATAAAACACGCCCCCTCATCCTTCAACGTTCAATCCGCACGAGCCGTAATCCTCCTGAAAACCGACCACGTCAAACTCTGGGACCTCGCAGACGCAACCGCGAAAAAAGTCCATCCGGAAGCTCATGAGAAAATGTTAGAGAAAATGATCTCGGGGTTCAGAGGAGCTTATGGAACGGTATTGTGGTTTGAAGATGATGAAGCACTTTCAGGACTTGCGGCGAAGAATCCGTTGTTTGGGAAGTTGGTGCCGAGTTGGGGAGATGTGAGTAATGGGATGCATCAATATGTTGCGTGGACGGCGTTGGAATTGGAAGGGTTGGGGTGTAATTTACAGCATTTTAATTTTATGGAGGAGTTCTCGGATGAGGTAGGTAAGACGTGGAATTTACCTTCGACGTGGAAGTTGAAGGCGCAATTGGTCTTCGGGACGCCGGCGAATGGATTGGTGAGGAGGAGGGAGAGAACGTATAAGCCTTTGGAAGAGAGGGTACAGATGTTTGGGTCGTAGCATAGTAGATGTTGAGCGAGGATATGTATATATTCTCATCTCGATTTTTTTGTAATGCCAACGCTTCTCATCTACAAACGTAGGAACAATGATGGAGCAGTGCTACCCCTCCTTAACATCACAATCGTCAGCAGTCTCGAAAAGCTCCTCGTACTTAACCGGGGTCTTCCTCAACCGCGTCGATCTGCGCCTCGTAGGCGGCTTCCGCGGCTTTTCACTCTTCACAGACTGCTCTGAAGAAGATCTCTTAGTCTCGTACCGCTTTGCAAGCCACTCCTGGGCAGGAACGGCTTCTTCCAACTGCAGAACCATCTTGGATGCGTTGGTGGCAGAAAGCTCCGGATCAAGCGATGGTCCCTAACCATTGCCTCCCCCGAAGGCATCCTGTTCGCCCTCTGCATCTTCTTCGCCACCTTGGGGATTTTGCTGATACTGCTGACCAATCGGCGGTTGAGGCTGCTGCGGTTGGCCGTACATCTAAGGCTGTCAGCAACTCAGCCTTTATCTTTGTATACGTGTTTGTGGATGGACTTACATTCTGTTGAGGCATGCCTTGCATTTGCCCCATAGGATATCCAGGAGTTTGTTGCGCGTACATGTTTGGATCGAACATCTGATTCCCGCCATACTGCTGCTGGGGTGGTGGATATGCGCCCATCTGCTGCTGGTACTGAGGTTGCTGCATGTGCTGTTGGTCCACGCCGCCAAACTCAGGCTGGCCACCCATCTGCGGAGGTTGCTGTTCCAGCGGTCCCGCCGTCGCACTTTGCGCATCCGGGACGGTATACGTACCCACGGGCGCATTGTACTCCGGTCTGCGCTTGTGAGATGGGGTCGCGTCTTCTCTCGGCACGATGTCAATGAGAAAGTCGAACATGTCACTCTTAGCAAGGGCGGATGCGATGTCACTCCGTTGCAGCGTGCGTCGCTTGTTCTCTTCTGCATGGATCCATGCGCGCATTGTGAGTTCGGTGATGAAGATGTCGCAGCCTTTGGCGAACAATATTGGTGCTTCGGCACTGATCATCTTAACCTCAGGATCGGCCTTCATGACTTTCTTTATCCGGGCCAGAGGTAGCTGATGCAGCTTGTAGTCGTGCTCTTCCGTCTCCAGTTTTGTCACTTGGTTTTGCCAGTAGGTATTTAGAATGTCCCTATACGGTCCACTCAGACCTTGCGACACATTCTGCCAGTGACCGGTAAATGTCTCTGGCGGCGGTGCATGACCTTGGGCAGCTATGGCAGCGCTTGCGCCGTAATGGCCGCCGTGGCCGGAGTCGTAGAGCGGTGCGCCATTCTTGCCATCATATCTCTTGGGCTGTTGCTGTTGCGCGGGTTGCTGTGGTGGAACGCCGCCGTACTGCATCTCGACGGTGTCGCGACAGCAGTGCGCACAATGCGCCGCGTCAATTTGGTCCCGAACAAGGCGCCGCGCAGAGGCGGTGACTGTCGCTCCACTCCAGAAGCTCTGCGCCCTACAATAGAACTATTCGTCCAAGTTGTGCTGAATATTGCTGGCAATGCGAATAGCCCTGCTCGTTGCGCGCGTCGCGTGGCAGGTCTTGCTGCTGCACACGTCTCTCGTCTAGGTGAATCGCGGTCAGTCAGTCTCCGTCAATGGCAGTGTCGCGATGCAGCAATCGTGGTGGCCGTCGCAGCAGTCGCGGTCGCGGTCGCGGTCGCGGTCGCGGGCGCAGTCGCAGTCGCAAGAGCGATGGCATCATTGCCATGGTGAGGCGATTGCAATTTCGAGCTGCGACGGCGCGGCGCTCGTATGTAAACAATCAACATGGAAAGCATACGTACTCGCTATCGAATGACGTTCGCGCTGTGCCCTTGCCGGCCTTGTCCAATAAGACGGAGTTGGAGCAAAATGTTGTTATTGGCTGGAAGGGGAGGCGAGTTTTGAGTGGTCGTGAAGGAGGCGCCTTAGAGACCAGACGCGCCAAGCGGGCAGCAGGTGGAGAAGTCACGAGGATTCTATCATGCAAGTGGCAGAAGCAGCCGAGCGTTCCCGACGGCACCGGCGACACCGACAGAAAGGTGATGTGAAAGATGGGAGATCTTGCAACGAGGGCGGTGTGAGGGATCAACGACATAAAACGTACGCCATGCCATCTGCTCACACAGAGCTAGACTGGCGCATGCAGAGATACTGCAGCTGCCGTGCAGTGCAGTGCGGTTTTCGGGGTTTCGGGGGCCACCACGCGCGCGGCACCTCCAGCAAGGCCTCGGATCGCATGTGAGGATATGCTATACCGCAGCGCCGCAATCGTCAGTGCAGTGACAGCAGCATCGCACACCGTCGGGCCTGCACTTCACCATCAGCAAACTGGATGGCGATACATATATGAGGCGGCAGTGCCATCCATGGGGAAGACGGGGCAAGCAAGAATGCCGCAGCGCGATGAGCTGGCATGGCCTGCAATGCCTGCAGCGCTCGCCGCTATCGGGCTGAGCCGACCAGGCCATCGAATCCTCTCAATGCGCTGGCAAGTCACTCGGTATCGCCGCCGCGTCGTGCAGCCGCCCGCCCGATGCGAACACAGCGCACCATCCGAGTCTATGCCATGCAGCACGACGGCATATCCTCGTCAGCCTTCCCGAGCATGCACGACTGCAGAAGCTTTCGCCTCAAAGACTTTGAAGATGGCGGGCAATGTTCCTGAGCTGTCAACGAGCATGGCGAAAGCTTCATTGACGCTGTTGTACTCGCTGGCCCTCCTCAACAGTGACAGTAGCGTGTTCGTGTCCCTACCATGGTGTTCAGTCGCGGACTCTCCACCATGACGCCGGCGGCATCATTATTGCTTTCCGTCCTCTCCATCACAGCTCCGTCATCGCCAACGGCATGTGAGAAGCGCCACCCAGGCAGCCCGGCAAGCATATCGAAAGGTGCAAGGCATGACTTCGCCGAGTAATAGCAGTTGGCCCTCTCAGACACACTGGGCTGGTCTCAGCCTTTGTCTTTGGAGCCGACAGTTTTTCTTTTGCGACACACGCTGACCTTCGTACCCTTTGCTTTTAGTCAGCGCACTTCTAATGTGTGCTCTTGACCAAGTGGGAAATGCTTGGGACCTTACGGATCCCGTGGGATCAGGACTCTGCTTCAACATTATCAGCGGCCGTACAATGCTCTTCGTCCGCTCAGGCAGAGGTCTCGAGAACTGATGCTACCATCTGGCGGTCTAGCTGATCAAATGCCCTCCAATGCACAATTAGAAGGCATATTCTAGTTCAGCCGACGGAATAATCATGATCGAGGTGAGTAAAGCTCAACAATCAATCTGAATCTTCAAAATCTCGTCAAGCGTGTCGCAGAATGCAGCAAGCGAGGCTTGGCTTCAAAGCACTGTTCACCTCTACCACTTTACCCTCCATATATTCGATGCAAAACCAGAGCAGAGTAGATGTCGAACTTATCATCATAGACAGTGCTTTGCCACGCGAGCCATACGTTCCAAGGATACAAGCAATACGCTCCTCCAGAAAAGCCTTCGCACAATCTACGAATGCACCTAGAACAGACGCCTTCGCTGGTCGCGCAATCTAAGTCATGCTCGCAATGCCACAGACGCGACAGCGAGGGCATCACGGATATGGACCAACCAAGAGGATGCGAATTATAATACACAGTAATGTCTGTCTTGATGATTCAGGAAGACTTTTCATTACTGCCTTCTTTGAGCACACTGACGACCTTTCGTTTCGCTGACCGCAGTCTCTCTTTCTTATAATCGTGCAGTGCACGAAGTCTGCTGGTGAGACCTATCATTCATCATGAAGCTACTTCAGACGGTGGCTTCATTATCTTTCACTTCGACAGCGCTCGCGCAGACATTCTCTGCATACACGGATGACAACGGCATAGCGTTCTGGCAAAAGACTTGGAGTACAGGAATTGGAGATGGCAACGCACAATTCGGCATGGCATTACCTCCCGCGAACGCGACTGACTACACTGACGAGTACATTGGACGTCTCGTCGCCACGATCCCCGAGGGAGGAACCTGGATGGGCCTCACGCACACAAGTGGCATGACCAACTCGTTGATTCTCTTAACCTGGATCAACGGCGAAGAAGTCATGTCTTCCTTCCGCTATGCTTCCGGATACGTCGAGCCAGACATCTACACTGGAAACGCCTCTCTAGGCGTCATCTCCTCTTTCGTGAACGAAACTCACTACGGACTGACGTACCGCTGCAAAGACTGTTGGAGATGGGAGCAAGATGGGGCATCCAGTGCACAAGTCCCAAAGACAACGTCGGCAGCATTACAGCTAATGGGTTGGGCACAAGCGACGCAAGCTCCAAAAAACCCCGAGCAAGCTGACGCAGGAATCGTTCAGCATGCTTCCGCCAATGTCTTCGCGGCAACAGTAGCCTCTGCTCGTAATGCAGCGTACACGTCTTGGGTTTCTCTTGCGACTGCACCTGCTACAGCGACTTCCAATGGCACTTCTCCAACCAGTACTGCTACTGGCACATCTGGTGGAAATTCCACAGCTTCCGCGACAGCGACAGCGACCTCGACTGCTGCCGTTTGCGGCAATGACACTTCCATCACCAGCCAGTCCTGGGACTACATCGTCGTCGGCTCCGGAGCCGGTGGAATCCCAGTCGCCGACAAGCTGTCGGAATCTGGTGCAAGCGTTTTACTCATCGAGAAAGGCCCGCCATCTTCCGGTCGTTGGGGAGGCACAATGCGTCCTAGATGGCTCGAAGGCTCGAACTTGACACGATTCGACGTACCAGGTTTGGACAACCAGATCTGGGTCGACTCCGCCGGCATCGCCTGTACAGACGTGGGTGTGATGGCAGGATGTGTTGTCGGTGGTGGTACGGCAGTCAATGCCGGTTTGTGGTGGAAGGCGAACCCGAGTGATTTCGATGTCGACTTTCCCGAAGGATGGAAGAGCAGTGATATGGAGGCAGCGATCGAGAGGACTTTTGAAAGAGTGCCGTTTACTGATTGTCCGTCGATGGACGGCATTATCTATCAGCCCGAAGGGTATAATGTCGTTGCTGGAGCTTTGGCTGCTTCTGGTTGGGACAATGTGACTGCGGATCTGGTGCCTGCGCAGAAGAACTTCACCTTCTCTCGGCCGAATCATATGTTCAGTAATGGCGAACGTGGTGGACCTATGGCGACCTATCTTGTCAGTGCCAGTGAGCGTGAGAACTTTAAGCTCATCACCAATACATCTGTATCTCGTGTGGTGCGTGATGGCAGTACGGCATCTGGAGTGGAAGTCGAAGCCTTCCTCGACGGCGGTCTTTGCGGCACGATAAAGGCCAACAATATCGTTCTCAGCGCAGGCGCTTTTGGCACGCCTAAGATCTTGTTTCGATCTGGTATCGGACCTCAAGATCAACTCCAAATCGTCCAGTCTGCAGAAAGTCATAGCATGATCGACAGCACTCAGTGGATCAACTTACCGGTCGGAGAGGGGCTCAATGATCACACAAGCACCGACATCGTTATTACACATCCCAACGTCACGACCTACGACTTCTACGCCGCGTACGATGATCCCATTCAAGACGATGTCGACAAGTATCTTGACAGCCGGAGTGGCATCCTCGCACAGTCTGCCCCGAACCTCGTAGCTAATTTCTGGCAGGAGTTCGAGGGCGCTGACGGCATCACTCGACAATTGCAATACACTGCTCGTGTCGAAACGAGCCACGACGTTGTCAGCGATTCGGCTGTTTCGATCACGCAGTATCTGGGTCGAGGTCAAACTGGGCGTGGAAAGGCCACGATCAGTAAAGGTCTCAACATGCTCGTGTCGGAAGTTCCATACCTTCAAGACGAGAATGATGTCGCCGCTGTCAAGGCAGGATTGCAGTCTTTGATCTCCACACTTAGAGCAGATCCAAGCATCAGCATCAAGTACCCATCCTCGAACCAGACTCTAGATGACTTCCTCGCCAACTACCCAGTCACCACAAGTGCTCGAACTGCAAACCACTGGATGGGAACTTGCAGGATCGGAAGGGACTCTGGTCTTGAGAATGGAACTTCGGTGGTCGATCTCGATACCAAGGTTTATGGAATGGATAATCTGTTCGTGGTCGACGCTTCGATCTTCCCTGGCATGACTTCGACCAATCCGAGCGCGTTGATCGTAAATGTGGCCGAACACGCATCAGAGAAAATTCTCGCGTTGAACGAGGGCTCGTCTAAGGGCAATAGCACGACGTGAGTTAGCATCAGTGCAGGTCCATCCTTACATTGACGGCGAAACTGATCACCATCACGAAAGCAGTACAGGGAATTCCAGCTTTCCCACGGCGTCCGCCAATAGTTCTTCACCGACCGGGTTTTCGTTGTCTGGCACAGCTGCTGCTACCGGAACTGCTGCTCCGAGTGCTGCTGCCGGTCTGGCATCGATCAATCAGCAATGTGGTGGACTGGGCTTCACAGGGCCAGAGGGATGTGAAGCAGGTCTGGAGTGCCGTCAGTGGAATCAATATTACTACCAATGCGTTGAAGGATGATTATAGCCTGTAGAAATATCCAAGGGTGTCGTTCAAGACGCGGCATCTGTGGACACCAAGCCTCGATATTGCTATCTTCGAGACGGGATGGACCGTCGTATGGGGCCGATACGGATAGCAGCACACTTTGCAGCATATTATCAGTGCATAGCTCGGGCGAAGATAGCATCTGCATTGCATGAATGCGGTAGAACATCATGATTCGAGGTCCGTTATCAATGCCTCCACGCTTCGTCATGCGCTGCCCTGGACGTGCTGTTCCCTGCGCATTTACGGGCTCATGACCACTAGAATATGCTGGGAATTGCTTTGCACCTCTCCTGGCTTCCTGATTCCTGAATCGACATGTGAAGTCATTGCTCGACAATGCACCCCGCTTCACACCTCCAACGACAGCTCATAGAATACAGCTCATCGCGTGACTCAGCTGCGCGATGCGATGCAATCTCTGCTTTGAACGCCGCCGGCGCCTGCTAGTTCTATGCCACTGCCAGCCAGCAGGCTCTCCTCCACTTCCATCGGGCGGAGCCGGAGCTGATATAATATGGGCGAGCAACAGCATCAATAAGCCGTATAGAGGCGTGGAGTCGACGACAGAGCCATTCTGCCAATTTCCCTGAACATCACCCATCGCCGCTGCTCTTCTATATCGAATTCTACGGCCCGGTGCAGCCATATTAACGTGCATCCCACCCCACGCTGCAAGTCACTCTGCACTCATCGGGAGAGCTGCAAACCACATACCAAAAGCTACTCGGCGGCCGTCGTGGGTGAGGGAAAAGAGAAGCTCAGTGGCCGAAAGCAACACACCCCACGCCGACGCGCAGGCGTGCACAGCTTTCCCCAGGAATTGCGATTACCAACCTGCTGGACGACAGCTACTACTGTACTACACTACCATCAGGGCTAGCACCGTAACCACAGCACAGTCGCAGCGTCCCGAGTACATATCATTCAGCCTCCTCCGCATCTCACCTCCCAGCATCTGCTTGATCTCTGCTCTCTACCTTTGACTCTGTGCCACACTGTCCCTGCACTCTGGAGGCCCCCTATAGCTACTGGTCATGAACTTTCAGGCTGCCATATGCTCAGAATACCCGCTTCCAGTAGAGCCCGTCAACCGCTGAATGCGAACAATAGCTCACGAGCACTTGGACACTAGGCTCGTTGAAGTAGATTAATCCATACTGCCCAGCTGCTGAAGCAGTTGTTGCCATACCCCCCCGAAGCACATCCTCTTTACAGTGCTTCCTGCGTCGATGGGCCAGCCCATTGCGGGATCTAGCACTCTCTTGAATGCTCAGATCGGTTTCTTGGTATGTAAAGAGCGTTGCAGCCATAAACCGGACTTCTACTGATAGACTTGAAGAAAACCCACTTGGCCCTCGTCCACATTCCTCCCTCCGCCTTTCCCCTCTTTATTCAGCCTATACTAAGCCTGCTCCTCCACAATGGGCTACGAGATGAAGATGGTGCCATAATACCGCCAAGGCGGCCCTGGAATTTCTGGCACCCCTTTGTGAACGTCTCGATTACGCCCAACGAATGCTCCATCGTCTGCCCGCGTGACGAAGCCGAAGCCCTTTTCGCACCATTGATTGGAGACCTCAGCCCGGCGTTACAGAAGAGTGTATCAATCAGCGATGAAGATTTCTCCGTCATCACAATTGGAGGAGAGGGCCTAGATGCCGGACAAAGGGTTCTTGACTTGACGAGTCCGCTCGCCTTGGCAGGCATTCCGATTTTCTTCATCACCAGCTACTACTCGGACTTCATTCTAGTTCCTCTCAGCATGAGGCCGAAAGTCATTCATGCTCTGGAAGAACGTGGATTCGTCTTCGAAGCAGATAGCGAAGATGGAGAGGCCGGACACATGACGAACCCTGCATCACCGCTTTTGAATCAGCGATATTCTTCATCATCTCCGTCCTCCGACGGTGTCGCGTTCGGATTCATGCCAGTGGCAACCACTCCGCCTCCCACGACCATCTCCGATCTCCAGGCCAAAACATTCAAGACCCTCGCTCGCAATAAAATCTCCCCTCACGTCGACACTTCCATCGCGCTCGTCACTTGCGCCGGAATCAAAGACAGCACTCCCAACGCATCAGAAGCCAACTTCACCGAAGGCAAACTCCAACTCGGAATCGCAAAATGCCTGACCTCCTACCCTCGCCCAAAATTCTTCTCCATCACCCTCACAGACAACGAATCCGCTTCCTTGACGATGGAAAGGCGCTTGCTCTCTCACTTCCCCGACGAAGGCGAAGGTTTACTGTTGGGAACCGAGAGTCCCGAACAAATCCCCATCACGTTGGATTTGAGACATCTTCCACTCGAGAGCACGGGGATTGTCTGTGGTGTCTCGAGTCGGTTGACGGATAGCATGAAGCGACGGATTGGAAGGGAGATGTTTAATATGAGTTATCTGAGCACGTCGAGGGCGGGGCATGTCATTGTGTATGAGGATGAGTTGGAGGATGCTATGGAGGCGCTGCGAGGTGCGCAACAAAATGGTTGTGCGTGAATTGATGATGATGATGATGATGGTTAAAAGTCAAAGTTCTCGGCTGGCTTTCAATGATATGATACGTACGATACGATCTTTGTCCGGCTTGAATCTTTGCATTCTGGGTTCAATTCAACATGGATCTGGTCGACTTGTGGTCGAAATGTCAAGGTCAACAGTGAGGGAGTGAGAGATCGGCTTGGTGAAATCAGAATCATGCATCCATCCCTGTTCTTTTACTCCGAGTCCATCTTCCCTTCCGGGCGATGTCAGTCTGTCTAGTGGGGTATCCATACCGTATCTCTTGGCTAGTGTTTGTGAATGTATTATCAACAAATGCAATGACCTGTCCATTCGATACAAAGGCTAAGTGAGTTCTGCGTCTGGTACGTAAGTAAGTCTTACTATTCTGAGATTTACCAAGTCACTCTGGAAAATGAAGCTGAATATAAGGGATTCGCCCGCTAGCAATCAATTCAATGCGAAGCAGGAAATCAACATGAGCACCTAATCCTTCTTCGGATCTCTTCGCTCTTACTCCTTTACCGCCCACCAACCGAAGCAGCAGCCTGCTCCGCAACTCTCGCTGCAGTAATCTTATGCAAATTCTCCTTGATCTTCTCATAAGCAAGTTGTTCACTTTGCTCAATGCCACCGACCTTTCCGAGGGAATTCTGTGTCAGCAAATCTTAGCACGAGGAAAAGAAAAATCACATGAGGCGCGCAAGACCGCTACGAAGACTTACTATCTCCCACGCAGTCGTCAACATTTTCTCCTCGACTTCGTAGTTCCTTCCAGCGGTGGAGTAAATGAATTGCCCGGTTCGGGTCTTGTCGGCCATGAGCACAGCGACTTGTCGAGCGACGACGTCGGGTTCTTGGGTTTCAATGCCGGTGTTCTCGAACAGCTCGCGAGGCACGAGGCCGGTTAGGGTCCATGATGGCCCAATGGCGTTTACGCGAATGGGAAGATCGTTTTCTTGGAAATTTGGAATTGCGCCACGCATCCAGCCTAAAACGCCATGCTTCGCTGTTGTGTAATCCCAAGCCTCGAATCGCTGGAATGATGATGCAGATGCAGTGCATACGATACTGCCGCCTTTGGGCTCCTGTTTCTTCATGTAGTGAATACCAAGGTAGGAAGTGTTGATCATGCCTCGCAGATTGATATCGTAGACGATGGTGTCAGGCTCCTTGAGGTCGCCAGTTTCATCGTATCGATCGTCGAGGTAGTTCACCTTGGGTCCGATGCCTGCGTTTGAAAAGACGTGGTCAATGCGGCCATGCTTGGTGGCTGCTGTGTTGAACAGTATCTTCAAGGCTGTCCAGGAAGTAACATCCGTCCGCACGAATGTCAATCTGTCATGTGATACTGGCGCATCTTGGAGATCACCCATGAATACGTGAGCTCCAGTATCCAGCAATAGCTTTACTGTGGCCAGTCCAATGCCAGAAGAACCACCAGTGACAACAATGACCTGGTCCTTAAGGGATGCGAAGTCCTCGGGCTTGATGAAGAACTGTGCCATGCTGGAGGGTTAGAAGTGCTGGATGTTGTTGTATCAAGAATGTATGAGAAACACAAGGGTGTCTGAAAAGAATATAGATGTCAGTGGTGCAGTGAGGGAAGAGGCGGGAGGATATCAAAGTCTAATGGAAGACTCGGTCGTATGCTGCGTCGATGGCTATTATTGGTGCGCCAGCTCAGAGGACCCCGCTCCAACTGATGTAAGAAGGAAGAGAGTCGTGCTCGTCGACTCTGCAGTGACAGTAGTAGTGAGCAGTGATGACATGCTCCATGGGTGGTCCTCGTACGTGAGCTCCATGCTTTCCTTACGAGAAGGATGCGGGCGTGCGTGACAATACATCGGCTGCTCAAGATGGCAGTTGCAGCGCGCGAGCTGAATGTCGCGATGGTGGCATAGTGTGGCCTGCCGATGGCGTAGAGTAGTGAGAGTGCCCTATCCGAGGTGCACTGAGTAGTGTCACATGTCTCCTTTCTCAGAGCTCAGACGCCGCGCCAAGACGGCGCCAGCCAGACGCTGCTGAATCAGCTGAAGGCTCGATCTGTACCTGGCTCATTTTCAACCTCCATCACACTGCGAATCCTGACTTCCTCTCGCCGCCTGAGGCATGTAGCACGCCCTACGACCTCTTACCAAGTCCAGTAGTATACAACTTGCAATTCTCCTACCCACTCGTCCTTCTCGTCTTCCCTTCTGTGACTCACTTGAACCGGAAGAAAGGCAAGAGGCATTCAAAAGCACGCTGACAGATTTGAGTTCCTACTAGCTCCGAAAAAGACTTTCTTGCCATTGTCATTCACACAATCACCTTTTTTCAATTTCGGCGAGAAAACGACCCATCTCTCTCATCCCTCAAAATGGCCACCAACGGCAGCAACATCTCGCCTTTCCGCTACAGCAAGGCCACCGACGACACCACCACCGCAACCAACAATGGCCACTCCTCTGCCTCCCCCGAACCCATCACCGCCGCTTCGACCAAACAAACCAAAATTCTCCAAACCACAACCTCCAACCCCTCAGTCCAATCCTTCGCCGTAAAAGCCGGATTGGCCCAAATGCTCAAAGGCGGCGTAATCATGGACGTAGTCGACGCAGCTCAAGCCCGAATCGCCGAAGAAGCCGGAGCCTGCGCCGTCATGGCTCTCGAAAGAGTCCCAGCCGACATCCGCAAAGACGGCGGCGTAGCCCGCATGTCCGACCCCTCCATGATCCAAGAAATCATGCGAACCGTCACCATCCCCGTCATGGCAAAAGCTCGAATCGGACATTTCGTGGAATGCCAGATTTTACAGGCGGTAGGAGTGGATTATATTGATGAGAGTGAGGTGCTGACGCCGGCGGATCCGGTGAATCATGTTGATAAGAATGCATTCAATACGCCTTTTGTGTGCGGGTGTAGGGATCTTGGAGAGGCACTAAGAAGGATTTCCGAGGGTGCGGCGATGATCAGGACCAAAGGTGAGGCGGGGACGGGAGATGTCGTGGAGGCTGTGAGACATATGCAGACGGTGAATGCGCAGATTGCTAGAGCGAGTTCAGCCTCTGAGGCGGAACTCAGACAGATGGCTAGGGAGTTGGAGGTTGATCTTGCGCTGTTGAAGCAGACTGCACAGCTCAAGAGGTTGCCTGTGGTCAACTTTGCGGCTGGTGGGATTGCGACGCCTGCTGATGCTGCGTTGATGATGCAGATGGGTTGCGATGGTGTATTTGTGGGATCGGGAATCTTCAAGTCCGGAGATGCTGCGAAGAGAGCTAAGGCTATTGTGCAGGCTACCACACATTACAATGATCCTAAGGTGTTGGCCGAGGTCAGCATGGGTCTTGGAGAGGCTATGGTGGGCATCAACTGTGACAAAATGGCGCCAGAGGAGAAGTATGCCAAGCGTGGATGGTAAAGTGGAGACGAGTGGTTGCACTCTTTTGTATGTATGCATAGCAATGGCGTCTCCTCTCGGCAAAAATAGCGAAGGATCAACTTCGGAGAACCAGCGCCTCACCGCGGCTGGAGCTAGGGTATGCATGAACGTAATACGAGATGATCATGGACTGAATCGAGGCTGTATCTCAAATACTGTCGTTACTCTTCTATACATTGGTGCGCGCGCGCCCAGACATTACACTTTACGCTGCATATTCAGCGACTAATGCTATCTAGCCAGTATCCTCTCCATCTTCCTCATATGCGCATGTCCTCCGCGATAATCTTATACTCCTTCCTCTTCTTCGGCGTCTTACTCATCCTCTGCTTGACTTTCCCAATCAATCTCGCCAAATGCGGAAACAGCTGTCTCTCAGCCACGTACGATACTGCAAACCCACCGATCCCCAGCGCAAGGACGAATAAACGAAAACTGACGCTCATCCACGTCAACTCCATCAAACCTTCAACCCATGGAGCAGGGTCGAAGAGCATGTAGCTTGAAATGGCAAGTGCGACTAGGATGGTGATCACGAAGGGTAAGTTGTGTCGCATGGATTGCCGGAATGGCTTGCCGACGGAAAGTACAATGGCGGAGAGGATGTACTGGTAGCATGAAATGTTGAATAATGCCGTGTTCTCTGAGTTCAAGCTGTTGGAGTGCTCCGGGTCGATGATGGGTGGTTGGTACCAGGGCTGTTGTCGTACAAACCACCATCCGATGAATTGCACGACCACGCAAAGAACGATTTGTCCTAGCAGTGGAGTGAGGACTTTTCGGCTGACCAGACTGGCGGTAGGTCGCTTTCGGGAGAGTTCGGGATATGGTCCCGTCCAACCCATGAAGATGGCGATCGGGAGGATGAGGAGTAGATCAATGTACAAGAATTGGAAATCGCCGAGGTTGCTGGCAGAGGCGTAGAGGAAGCTGACCGACGTGAACTGAATGGCCGAGTACAGGGACATGTACTTGAAGCAGCTGAAGCTGGTGACGAGCGCGGCACGGCCTTCGCGTATGACCGACGGGACACAGGAGATATCGAAGACACGACTTGTGAAAGGAGCAGCCACGGACGCTTCGGCCTCGGAAAGCGAGATGCCAACATCTGCTGCTTTGAGGGCACCGCAGTCGTTGGCACCATCACCGCAAAAGCCGGCACAGTAATCGATGCTTTGGAGCTTTTCGATGAGCTCGTGCTTTTCATCTGGCGACATGCGTGCAAAGACTTGGCCGACGACAAGCATTTCTCGCAGGACTTTAGGCGATGCAAAATCCACCATCCAGCGGAACACATCGCCAGACACGGCCACGGAGTAATTACGAAGATTGGTGACGTCGTATGGTAGCGAAGAGTCGTGCTCGGCTGGCGGTGGTAATGGCTTCAAAGTGTTCTCATCAAGCTGGTAGACCGGATTGTCGACCGATTCCCAGCACAGCTTGGAAAGTGCCGTGTGCGCATCACCGTCAACGAAATGTGGGACGAAGCAATGCGCAGTCTTGTCGATGAGGCTGCACTCTCTGGCCACACTGATGGCAGTAAGAATGTTGTCTCCGGTGCACATCACAGTGCGAATGTTGGCATCGCGGAGTTCCTCGATGATTTTCGTTGTGCTTTCTTTCAGCTTGTTCTCGAAGATGATGAAGCCAGCAAAGTCGAGGTCAGACTCAACCTGATCTCGCTTCTGCTTTTGTAGTTTGAGCCAGTTGAATTTGAAGATGTGCTTTGTTGCGCATGCGATCACACGGTAGCCACGATGGGTGTAATATGCCAACAGATCATCGTAGTCAGGAGGGAAGCTCTCGGGCTTGCAGATGGTCTTCATTGCTTCAGGAGCGCCTTTGACGAAGACGTCTGCACTTTTGCCGCCCATTTGTCGTACAACAACGCTAGCACGGCGAAGCTGCGACACGAATTCGAAAGACCTCATGACACCGAGCTCGATTGCTCTTCGGCTTTCGGGAGTGCCTTGCTCTTCATCGAGATCGAATTCCATGCCAGGTGGTGGTCGAGCGACGGAAGGCACAAGCGAATTGTTTTCTTCTTCTTCGCCCGTTGGCTCAGCACCTTCCTCATACTGCCAGCCGGTCCATTCGAACATTTTAAGGTCAAGCGGGTCGCCAATGAATTCATCATCCACGATACGGAGCGAATGGCAAGTTGACATGGTGTATAAGATTGCCTTGTTGGCATTGTAGTCCATGGTAGGATCTCGTTCATACTGAGCACCAGGTAGCAGGGTATGCGACTCGGTCAACAGATCGCTGAATCTATTAGCCGGGCGCGAGACAACGCGTACACCCAGAACATCGAGGCCATCCTCAGTAAGAGTTCCTGTCTTGTCGAATGCCATGACATCGATCTTGCCACCAACATTGACACGCTGCGGGCTAATGCAGAAAATCTGCTTGCCCTTTAGACGACTGAGCGCAAAGTTGGTGCCAATGGTAAGAGTCGCAGGGAGTGCTGGCGGAACAACGATCGTGATGAGGTCCAATGCGCGAACGACAATGAGGTGCCATTCCAATCCGAGACGAATAAAGTTGACGAGCGAGGCAATGAAACCGATTCCAGCAATGACTGCCATGACGGAGATGTATCGAAAGGAATCTCGATAGAACTTGAATCCGGAGGGCTTGGGGAAGAGCATCGATCGGACCAAGGCGCCTTTGGTGGTATTGAACCCAGTTCTGACCACAAGGGCCAAGGCAGCAGCCTCGTCACTCTTGTCATCCTGTGGTCGTCGAGCTCTAATGATCTTCGTACCGCTGAACAACATATGCTTGGCGACATCGGCATGAATCGTGGATGCGCTCAAATTCAGCATCTCTAGAGTGTCGTCTGAACCTGGAGTCTTGGAGACTGGCACAGATTCACCTGTAAGCATGCTTTCATTGACGATGCAGTCACCTGATAGAAGTATGCTGTCGCATGGGAATTGACCAAGATTGGGATCCGTGACTTCGTAGACGTCTCCCGGCACAAGCTCGCTCGAGTCCACGTAGCGCCAGAAACCGCCGCGAAGCACGCGAATGTCGCACTCAAAGCGCGCAATGTCTCGCAATCGGTTCATGGTCGCTCTCGTCTCGATGAGAGTGGTTGTGACACTGACTACAGAGATGACAAAGATGCAGGCGGCATAGTAGTAGTACGAGTCCAGGGACCACAGAATAATGCTGGCGATCTGGAAGACGTAAAATGGGTGGAAAGCCTCGTCCATCAGGAGCTGACCAATGGTCTTCTGCTGAATTTCAATCGCATTCTTGCCAAAGATGCGCTCTCGGATGCCCTGCTCATCACCATCGATACCTGCTCGTACAGCGGTGATGTTTGTCCAAGCAGGATCCTTCCAAGTATTGCCAAGTACGAATTTGTCCTTTGATGGGTGGTATGCGAACCGAATGTAGCGGTAATCGAGGATGCGCAACTCGTCGAGAATTGGATCATCATATTCGTCGTAGTCCTGCCACTTGGCTTTGCTGACGCCAAAGACTTGTGACAGAGATTGGCCAAATTCCTGTTTGCTCAAGTCCTTGACCTCCATCTCTCCCCATTGATTTTCAATGACGACCCAGTCGCACTCGCCCAGCGGCGTTTGCCTACCTACGAGCTTCACGTACCATCGTGGAAGCCAGCGCAGGAGTAAGTACGCCACCCCACCAGTGCAGAGAGATAGTGCCGAGTACAATGCGAAGCCAAATAGCGATGTCTTGAAACCTGTGGCCACGATAGTCATGTCCTCGGTCAAGATGTAGATTTTCTGGCTGATCCTGCCACCGACGCGGAAACCACTCGTCTCTGATCCCTCGGAGTGGTGCCGTCTCAAGAGAGGACTCTGTAACGAATGCCGGGTAGAGTCTTCTGATCTGCGAGCGCCTCTTGAACTCCTTGAGGTTCTTGAATCACCCGACCCTTTGCTACCATTTCGTGGCCTAGGCGAAGCTATCGAACCATTCTCGTACCCGTTCTCAAGGTCTCGGTCCATTTCTGGCTCAAGAAATGTGTTCTCGCCATTCAGACTCTGGCTCTCCAGGCCCTCTTCCCCAATGATCAGCGCCTCTTCCGCATACTCCTCCTCATCGAAGTCGCGCTCTTCCTCATAAAAGGCAAAGCTGGCCGTCGAATCTCTCCTCGATCGCCTATGGAAGAAGGAGCTGGAGGCGGTCGGCACGCTTTCAGACATGGGCCCAGAAAAGATCTCATCCTGAGCCATCTCGACATCGCCGAGGAAGCTGGCCTCGCTCATATTGCTGGAGCGCCTGTACAAGGCTGAACTCTGCCGCGAATCATCGTCGGCCATCGCGTCGCGCAAGGATAATGAGGCCCCGTGTTATCGTAGTCGGTGGTCCGTAGATATGTAGGCTATACCAGGGTGGGAGACGGGGTGTCTCTGTCGCATCGGCATTGGACCATGTCGGATGGCTACTCTCGTCTCGCGGCGAAACCGTCCTGCGCGTTTCTCGTTTCTATGCCGTGTTTGTCGAGGCGGAAATGTGCCTTCGGAGTCAATCGGTCCCCTTTCCGTCCCGGCGCTTTCACATGCGAGCATGGATTGCTAGAATACTTGACACCGAGATCGACGCGGCCTAAACGTGAGGAAACGCTCTCTGCGAGCTGCTAGACCATGGATCCATCGCCAAATATTAATCACGGCATTGCTGCCTCAATCTACAGTCCACTGGACTCATCAAAGAGGGAGTTCCGCCTGATTCGCTTTGTTGGTGGGCGTCGTGAGCTGGCATGGGCGCTGGGCACATCGTCCTTGCTCGAAGCCCAGGCCTTTACAGCACTGTCTTACTGCTGGGGCAAGGCTGAAAAAACAGACCAGTGATCGTGAATGGCCATGAATTCCAGGCTCGGCCAAGTTTGTACAGCTTTCTTGTGCAGATGGCGAGCGAGAATAGACGGGACTGGTTCTTCGCCGATGCGATTTGCATCAACCAGGACGATATCTACGAAAGATCTCTTCAAGTCACGTACATGGGCGAGATCTATCGGAAGGCACTCGAGGTGATAGCCTGGATATATCACGAAGATACTGACGATCCAAAGCTCATGACACAATCACACATTGAGAAGCACGTCCGAGAGCTCCAGATGAAGGAGAAGCGAGAGGCAGTCGAAGGTGCAGATCTCCAGCCAGACGAGCGTAAGCTCCTGACCAGTCTCCATGACTTGGCATGGCAGCTTGCAGCCTCAAGCGACTATTGGTCTCGTCTATGGATCGTGCAAGAAATTCTCCTTGCGAAAAAGCTCACGATCAGGTGGTATTCATTCGCCTTCGACTGGGACAACATCCGAACTCTGCAGATCGATGGTGTCAATATCCCGTCCATTGAGCTGCATGAAGATGGACGCCCATTGAAGCCACATGCTCTGATGGTACGTCGCACTCTCATTCTGCTTCATCAAGTCGTGCAGGAGCACCTAGTAAGAGGATTGATCCGGGCTGTCATGTCACGGGTGCGAGTATGCGATATGAATGCTAAAAGTCAGCAGACAATGCGCAAGGCGGGGCTTTTCCAGTACCATCACTTGCCCAACAGTGCCGAGAATTCGATCATGTGCAAACAGCTTTGGCACTGGCATAATAGCGCAGGCCGGGATCTGCACGCCGGTAAGCTTCTCTCCTTCCAAGAGGCAGTGCAGTTCTTCTCTGCGCAACTATGCAAAGTAGCTCACGACAACGTCTTTGCTCTTCTTGGTATTGCCGAGTGCTGCATCGAGCCTGATTACAACATGCCAATGATGGAGCTGTATACAAGCGCGCTCTTCAACTACATGCTCTGCCTGTGGTCACGAAGGTCGTCGATGGCACACAACGTGGACGGTACCAAGCTGAACAACTGGGACACTCTGAACTCAGTTGGCTTAGATTATGACAAGCTCAAATCCCTGGGCGAAGCGCTTATGCATGCTTTTCAACTCGATCCGTTTCACGGGGTCGTGTTCCTCATATCCTACCATGTCTGCAAACGATTCGTCTCGAATGCTGCCATCTTAGCACAGCAAGGTCTTGCCTCGAACTGGCTTTTCCATACGGAGTATACGAGATTGGAATTCGGCAGCGCAAACGACCTCCTGAAGCGGAGGTGGTATGAGTCGAATGACATGGCTCTGAGGCGTTTCCACAATGATCTCCTGGATCGCTCTCACAAAGCATTAGATCGACACAACAAGTATGAGAAGACAGACAGAGAATTGGCCGCTCCAACTCATCATCAGCTGAAGGCGCCTGCAAATGATGGTCGCGTCATGCGACACTCTGAATGGATACGTGCCACCAACGATGTCTGCGACAAGATCTGGGAGCGCTGGTCGTCTCATGCATCAAGGCCAAGCCTGGATGCTTTCACAGCCTGAGAATAAGCCAAGCGAGAAACCTTGGTGAAATGCTTCAGAGTACAGCCTGCTTATAAACGGCGTCGCAGAATCGCACAAGGCTTCTAGGAAATCTTGATAAGTATCACAACCTCAGTGCAGAATGAGCTTGAGCACAGCCGAGAAATCCTTCGCATCTTGCAAAGTGTACATATGATGTCTAGAGCGGAGTGAAGAGAATGAAGCGACGCTAATATATATTGTGGTGCTAAATTTCGACCATCAGACCCACTTCGCCGGTCCGCAGCTTCCCGATTGGGAACTCTTCGCTCTGGAACACAAGATCCTGCAACATTCCTGGGTAACAACGACTAAGGGTATTGACGTGCCCATACCGCCCTCTCGAAATAACCTGGCCAGCAACACAGACTTTCGCGTGATTGCGATTCAAGGGGCTTTTCACCTAGACTCCTGCCACGACTTCCATCCAGGGCGTTCCTCAAACCATCCAAGCTCCTCCTCGCGCTCCTCGCTGAGCGTGACTGTGATATCATCTCCGCCCTCCTCATCTCCGTCGACCATCTCTCCTGCTCCGGCACCGTGCTCATATCTATCTATATCAGGTCGCGCATCATGTCCCTGATCGCCTTGCTCTCCACCGTCGGTATGCTTTGCTTGGTCGGCACCCTTCGTATCCAGGGATGGCTTCTTCTCCTCGAAGTCCTCGGTTCTCGCAATTGGGATTTCCATGACGACTCAGGAATTTGATGCAAGGTTGTCTATCGTGAGGTAGTGAGCGTCTGTTAGCCTGGATTGCAGCGTCGACTTACCTTTAGAACCTCGAGATTGTAGCACATATATCTGAGGCTCTTCAACAACTTCGGGCCAGTGCCTCCTGCCCCCTTGTGTTTGGTATAGAAGATACGAGTCGAGTATAGTGCAGCGCTCTTTCGAGGCACCTTGAATACTCGCACAGACCTTGTGTTGTGGGTACCTGCAAACGCAGCCTCTATTTTAGGGCCCGTGCGTGTGAAAGCCGGTTCAGGGCACTCTGATGAGATACCTGCTTAGAAGGTGCTTCGAGTGACGAAATATGTGGAAAAAGTTTCCAGTCCGAATATGTGCAAGGCAAGCTGTTTGCTGCGTGAAAGGAGAGATGCAAAGGAATTTCCATTGCTCTGGGAGGTTCCTGTCGGGCTCAAGCTTTTGTTCTTTTCCATCCTAGACATTTCTGCCATTTTGGCGCATCGCTAAATATGAGGCGCCTCATGGCGGTGCACCAGTCCCGTAAAATCCCGTACCAGGGACAGGGAATTGCATCGCTGCAAGATCTGCAGGACTAAAGTTCCAGTCATCGAAAGTCCACGCAGCGATCTCGTCCAGATCCAACATCTGCGTGGGATCTGTCATGCCGGATTGCGCGGCGCCCGCAGTCGTGGCGGGATTGCTAGAAGGATAGTAATCTAACATGCCTTGATTCATCTCCTTTGGACCGACCGGAGCAGTATTGATTATCGTTGTGGTCGTGCCGGCAGGATTATCTTCTTGGCACGCCATGATCTTATAGTAAGGTCTTGTGATCTTGTCGATCGTTTCTTGCATGAAGACCAGCCTTTTCGAAGGTTCCTTCTTCGACATCATGTATCCATTCGCTGCAAGCAAGATCCATAACTGCCGCTGCTCTCGTCCAAAACGGATGACCTTGTCTGTCAACATCTCAATTACCTCTGGCACTAGTCGTAACGCAGCTTCGTCCATGGCACGGCCAAGGGCGTCGTCTGCATGAGGATTGTTTGCTGTAATATGGCACAATGACAAAGCTGCTCGAAGTTGATCATTGCAGAGCAACTCAAGAGCTTGGCAGCCTTTAGATGTGAGTGATTTATGGGCCTCTATCATCCTAGTCGCAGTCTCGATCAGGATCATGCGGGAGAAATCACGCTCCGCCTTTGTCTCCGCCGTTCTGATCTGGCGGTCGTGCAATACCAGGAGATACTGCCGTAAATTGATGGAGAGCATGGCGCGAGGTATCTCTGAACTTGAGCCAATCCATTCCGGCACGGATTGGAGGAAGTAGTCTATCTCATCAGTAAATCTCTTCGACTCTTCGAAAGAGACTGGCTGGCGAATGTTGTTCAGATATGTGTTGAGTGTTGCTCGAAGCTGGTGGGAATCGCTCGCCAGACAGAGAAACGATACGGGAGTAAAGTCGTTCGGTCTTCGGAGAGCAGGTAGGTGAGGCGTCTCTTGATCGATATCGTCGTCACTAATGTGTGTCGGAGCAGGACAATCGCTTTGCAACGCCCACGGCGCCGAAATCATTCCGCGATCGAAAGACGCTTGCAATTCCAGCTCGGTCACTGCTGCCCATACTCGTTTCCTCAGCTCTTTATCAAGCACCGAAGTCGGCTTTCGTATCAGGTCAGGCGTTCGATGCAGGCCTGCTGCCATGCAGAAGCGAAGAACACTTCCACATTCGGTCCATGTCCTCTTAAACTTTCGTGCGGCTACTTGCTTCGCAACCAGCAGTATTACTCTGACCTGGAAGTCAATCGCTGCAACGTGCTTCTGGCTTTGTGCCAGCAGCCAATTATCAACCGCCGATATCCATGCAACGGCTTTCTCGCGTGCTGTGGAACTGTTCGCGCGGTACAGCCAAGGGGATGCGCTTGTCAAGCATTGGACAGCGGCCATCATAAGAAGAAGCATCGCCACGAAGTGCGGAGTGGCACTCTCGATCCCTTCTGTCCACATCTCAGTGTATTCTTTCCAGAACGATGGCAAATGGATGACGTGGTAGAGACTGCCATAACTGTCGAGGTAGAGTTCAATGAGCTGATCTGCTTCAGTTCTCAATGGCATCATCGCCTTAAGCTCGTCATCAGACACAGCAGAATAATTCGAGCCCGCATAGTCGACACGATTCTCAAGCGCGCCCATGTCATCCTTGATTCTGGCCAACGCTGGAAACTGGTCGAACATTTCTCGAGTAAAGCCATGCAGTTCCGGTATGCGAGCAATCAGTGCGCCGGGATGGGTGTTGCCGTGAAATTGGGTCTTGAACGATCGACCTCGGAGCAGTGTTGTTTCGCGATCCTGGTCGATGTTAGTCTTGTGTCTCCCGAGGAGCGTTGGTGTGCGTACCTGGACTGGTGCCACGAGTTCGCCGCCCGTGATGGACTCAGGCGAAGGTGGAAGATGCATCTTGCCGGGCTGGCCGGAGGCCTTTGCCAACAGTCCCTCCAGCTGCCTGATTCGGCCATCTTGATATTCTAATCGCGACAAAAGATCTCCTGTCGGGGCGGATGCGCCACTGGGTCGAGAGGAGTGGCTGTAGAAGGCGGGGAGTTTGGTGGAGTGATGGGATCCGGGCTTGTTCTCCTGTATTGGATCGCGCAGCGGGGCATCTGTAGCATCTTCCAGATACAAGCAATTCGAAGCTTGGCCTGCCTTGGTGCATCGACCACATGCTGGCAGCGCACGGTCACATTGAAGCTTTCGTCGGCGGCAGTCGTAGCAAGACAGCACCTTTCGCCGCCGCTTCCGGTCGTCACCTCCGCCGGCGTCTGGCGACCTCGTGCGAGGAAATTGTCTTCCCTCCGGCAGGAATGGGTCAGTAGGCATGATCTTCTGGCGCTATTAACGTCTGCCTTCGCTCCTGGACATTGTTCCTCTCCTTGTCCAGAGGCAGAGGCGAGACCAATGGGTACACAGTCAGATTTGCCCTAAGTCCGAGGCTACTCGCACGAGCTCGGATGAACGATTCCAGGGCCGAGGCTATCTCAGCTCTAGCACTCACTTGAGATTCCGCAGACGACAGCACCTGCCCTGTGACAGGCAAATTCCAGCAGGAAATTCATGGCCCATCGCCGTTGGCTATGCTAAGGGCAATATCAATGGCGCCAGATCCAGGCATTACGAGAGTTGCGAACAGTGTAAAACTCCGATCCCAGCTACTAGGTTCTTGTTGTTTTGGAGACTGATTACTTGTCCGTCCATATCGCCCTTGACGCCTACCATCCTACAAGCCGAAAATTGACATGCGATTGGTTCCGCCATTGTGTTTTCAATCGACATGAGCAGTCCCTCGTTTCGCCCACTGTTAAAACGACCTTTGTTGCGCAGCCAGTGCCCGAAGCCCTTGCGCTGATTCCCGTATCCGAAACTCCCTTTCTCCAGCAGCCACATCACTTTCCAATCACAAATTTGCCAGATCCTGGCACGGACGCTTCATTCGCCGCTGGACGATAATTGTCGCTTCTACGGTGCTCGTCTGTAGTGCTTGCTTATGTAGGGAGCCAAGTTCTGAGCTTGTCATCGATCTGTGCTGCCACAAAGCCACCTGCTGGTGCTCGAACTATGTGCTGATCGGGTGTCGTACGTCAGGTTCGCATTGTATCGTTGCAAGATCGTTGAGGATCCTGTAGCGTGGTAGTGAGAATAAGAGCAATATCTCGAGCGTCTAGCCCTCGTCTCGATAGTAGTAGCGAAGTGCCTGCTCGAGGTGCTCTTCGGAGTGGAGTTACATATTGACAAAGCGAAGTACGTTTGTCTCATTGTTGTCTTGTATTCACGTCCTGCCCGCTTTTTCATCTACCTCGCCTTCTTGTTCTTGCTTGTAATTTGGCTCAAAGCCTCGTGCTTGCCATGGTAATTGTAGTCGGTGAAGTCCATCTCGAAAGCATCGTACTCAGACGTGGCCGAAGAGACCGAAGACGATCTGCTCCAAGCACTGTCTCGACGTTTGGGAGTCTTGCAAGTGTGCGACGTAGCGGTGTCGTCGTCTTTGGCGAGACGCTCGAGAAGTTGGTGGACGGTGAGCTGGTATGTAGCCATGTTCAATTGTCTTAAACTGCTCGTGGTTGTTTCAACTGACTTGATAAATAGGTGCCTCAAAAATTGATATGATTGCTCTTTGAGGTCTGCCACAAAGCTTCTACGTCAAGCGTGGGACTTCTGCCTATTTGTACTATGCGATCTAATCTGATCCTGCACGTATTGCAGGCCGGTCGAGACGCTAGTAAGTCCGAATAATCCTTGAAAAGGTACATTCGCACGAGCTGCGTTGCTCATCAGCGAGGCGGCCGTAGTGGATTTTGCCTCACCGTCCGGAAACTCCATGGCCGGGCACCGTCGGCTGCGGCGCTGCGCATAACACCGATCCCGACTTAACACCTTCCTCTAGGCAGCCATTCATCGCATGCGGCGGCTGTTCGAATAATGCGCAGATGGAAAGAGAATGCGATGCAGTCATTCTGCAGGCCGTATGGAGTTGGTCGCTTGTGTTGGAGGCGACCATGTGGCACTAGTTCGGCTTTTCTTTGACAAGCTCTGAGAGCTCCAGGTCCAGCGAGAGAGGCGTGGGGGATTTTCGGTTGCTATACTTGTCGTACAATACATGCGCAAGTGCATGCAAGACTACATTCTAGTTGATGAGCTTGCCGTAGAACGGTATGCCGCAAGCAGACAAAAGCATGCGTGCATCTCGGTCTTCTCGAGCTGTGGTATGAACAAACACATGTAGTCCAGGAATCATCTTGGGCGGGTACCTGTAGTGGATAAGGTCAATGTCTCTCTAACAACGACCACACTTCTTTCTGAAATCAACTCACATGTCATAGTTGACTTCGATCTCGGGGAACAACGCAACGTCCTCGCCGTTCAGACCAAATGCGATGTTTCCGCTGCTGTCTCCCGAGCTGCCCTTGACGCCCTTCCAGTCCTTGATTTTAGGCATGACAACATCGACAAGCTTGCTGAGGAAGTGGTACATGGTCTCACCACGCAAATCAGCAGTGACAGACAAATGCTGTCCTGCTTTTATGCCAAACGCAGCGACGCTCTTCGCGGTCTGATGCACTGTGACACGTCGGTTGGTGATGGCCTGTAAAACCATACCAGCGACGTGTAAATGCGCGCTGTCCTCTATTGCGCCCTTGACCATGGTGTGTACTGTGATGCGCTCCAGCTTAGGCACGTTGCGAAAGGTGATGGGTTTGCGCAGCAGTCGCAGAACATCACCACCTCGCGGTCCACGCAAGGGCCTGTTCTTGAAATATGGAGAGTCTCCAACCCACTGTCTCAGGCGCTGACCTTTCTTGTGTGGTTCTGTGCCAGGCGGGAAATGTTGGTAAGCCAATGTCATGAGATCTGGCGCAAAGGTTTCATGATAAGTCTGCTCGAGGCGCGGGAGCGAAAACGGACCAGGGCGAAACTCGCGTGAGGCTGGATCTGATGGAGGCGGAGGCTGATGGGGATGGAATGGTCCGCGGTAGTATCGAGGAGGCCGGAATTGGTATCTGGAAAAGAGTCAGCATCCAATGTACAGCAGCATCAAGCGAGTGCCATTACCTGCTAGCTGGCAACTGTGCTCTCCGCCGCCGCGACCTGCCAACAGGATCATATTCGCGCAGTCTCTCGTAAGCATTCTCGATGCCTGCGCCTAGAAACTCGGTGTGCTCCAGTTCCTGGATCTCGCTATCGGCCTTGCTGGCAGTCTGTTCTGTGGATGCTCCTGAGGTTTCAGTCGATGCGTAACGACGGCATTGTGATGTCCAGACTTGGCGCACAGGTCTTTCTGATAGCTGCAATCGCCTTAAGAGGGAGGCTGTGACCTCCTGCAATGCCATCATGCGGTATGGATGAGCGCGCAATGCTCATGCACACTTTCTCAAGATTCGATTTGGCACGCGGCCGCCGGAAGAGCCCCGCTGAGTAAGAGATGATTAAGACCTGGCTTCTAACAAGGACCCCACCTGTATCTTCAGCCTCAGGCACGGCAAAGGAACAGGCACCTCCATCTCCATACAAACAACCTCCCGAATCTCAGTTGCGCCTACCGTCCGTCGACACTCCTTCATGGAGCTATCGCGACTGAGGCGAATCGATCCATGTCCAGCATGAGCGGCGTCCATCGATTCCTCAGCCGACGCGACAAGAAGAACCCGCGAAACTCATCCCTCTCCAAAGTATGCACTACTCTCCCTTATTCCCTGCTGTCTTCTCTGAGCATTCACTATGTCCATGTCTATTTGGGAGGAGTCTTCATGCTTTGGTGCACTCTGCGACTGCAGAAACAAGCAAACACCACCAATGCCGCCGACGGGTGAACAGGCCGAGCAGCAGCCGCATCTGCGCACCTCCGCCATGGGCAAGGAGAATCGCCGCCAGGCCAAACGAGGCCCGTCGCTGAACAGCCTTGCCTCATACATTCATGGCCGATGCAGTAGATCGCCTCGGAAGAAAGTCAAGCTGGTCGTTCTTTGCCAAAGTTGCTTCTCTGTACTGCTGTCTCAGAAGACTAATGGAGCACTTACAGCAACGGAAAAGCGACTCGTCTCCCGCCAAACATGTTCACCGCCCAGAACACTTTGGTAGCATATTCACCATTGAGGACGACCCGAAAGCGAAACCCGACAAGGACGAGGAGAGGCAGATCAAGGGCGTCCTGGAGCGGCTGCGAAGCTATGGCATCAATACTATGGTCGAGTCGAACGCAAAATATGCCTTGAGAATAACACACGGTGGAGCAGGTGGAGAACAGGCATTCCGGCTATTGATGCTCTTGCAAGAAACTTATGAGGGCATTGTGAAGCCATATCAGCCTACCACGAAGCTAGTCGGCGCAGTCAATCGAGACTCTGTGACCTGCTATCTGGACGCACTCCTCTTTGCTATGTTTGCACGTCTCGATAGTTTCGAGGCTATGCTTTATGATAACTTTGAGGACGTACCCAGAAAGAAGCTTGCGGGTCTGCTAAGGCTGTGGGTAAACATGCTACGAACGGGAAGACTGATCACAGTGGACATCACAAAGCACATACAAAATGCGCTGGCTGAATGTGGATGGCCAGATGCTATCCGGCTTAAGCAGCAGGACCCCTCCGAAGCCTTCACCTTCATCACTGGGCAGCTGGGGCTTCCTCTTTTGACCTTGAAAATGGACCTTTACCACACGGGAAAGGAGGAGCCACAGGATGACCACAAGTTTATCAATGAGCGATTGCTTGAAGTTGCGATTCTCGACGAGCCAGTCGAAGGAAGTAGCGTCATCACGCTTGAAGACTGCCTAGAGCACTACTTCAACAACCGGATCGAAGTGAAGCGACACCTCGAGAACCAACGGCGAAACACCTTGAAGTCGGCTGAGCTGCATTCAGTGGAAGACCTGGCAAAGGTGAAGAAGGAGTCCGGACTTCATGTAGAAGTGGCAGAGATCGCACCGAGCACAACAGGCACCCCGATCGTGCAGACGCCGATTTCTGAAATGTCGACACCAATCACCCCCTCGTATAGCAGGGACCCTATTGAGAGGTTAAGGCCAACTGCCGGCAGAAGGCGCGGCGATAGCATCTTCAGCCAACGCAAAGTCGAAGTCTTGGAGGGCTGGGATCCTGAGAAGAACAATGAGGATCATGGGGCTCCCCAGGAAGTGAAAGAAAGGAAGATGAGCACTAGGACTGAAGTCTTGATGCCTGCATGGCAATTCTTCAAGCTATTGCCATGGTATACAGACCACATGCCCACCAGCGATGCACAAGTGGCTGCCCATTTCTCCAAGAAGCGGCCCGTTCTCGGCATATGTCTGAAGCGGTATTCCTACACCAATACTGGCCAGGCCCAGCGACGCGACACCTACGTCGACATTCCACTCGAAATTGCAGTGCCAAACTTCGTCAGCGATGAAAACATGGATGAAGGAGGGCCTTTGGTTGGCAACTTCCGGCTTTTGTTGCAATCCGTCGTCTGCCATCGCGGCATGTCCGTTAACAGTGGCCACTACGTCTGCCTGTCTCGCGGTACCGCGGCCAACGCAGTATCTGAGAGCCATGAAAGTAGTCGCAGAGGTAGCTTGACCGACAGCGAGGACGTTGAAGACCCGTGGATGCGCTTTGACGACCTCAGCTCGCAGCGAGTCACTGATGTTGACATACACGAGGCACTGAGGCAAGAGACTCCTTATCTCTTGTTCTACCAGGTGCAGCCAATTGGCGACGATGGGCACTCCATACACAACTTGCCCAGCTACGAGGAAGCTACTTCAAGATCGCAGTCTGACTTGCTCCCGCTCGAAGAGAAGCCATACTTGGATTCTGGACTTGGCTCTGAGAACACGCTCGAGAAAGTGCCGTCTCAGGCACTGTCTGAAGGTAATCAAATAGGGTCTGATACTGTAGACTGGGAGCCTGGATCTGGCAGACCGAGTCTCGAGATCAGCACAACCGTCGATGGGCCGCGTGGTCGTTGTAGTATAGATGATCGACGTCGAAGCATCACTTTCGATGATGCAAGCGTTTTCGGGAGCATTCGCACAGACCCAACAGGTTCCGTGCCTTCGACTCCGGCTGAAGAGCAACCTAATGCCCTCGAAAAGAATGGCAACAGCTTTTTGGCAGTCGCCAATAAACTTTCAGGGTCTCGGCGCGGTAGCCGGCAGTCAAAGGGAGGTAATTCGAAGAGTCGTCCTACGAGCACAGGCCTGGATAGCGCCAATAACAGCAGATTCAGCTTGAATCTGAACATGTCCAAGTTGACGCAGAAGATCAGTCGCAATGACAACAATGGAGCCTTCGAGATGCCAGCAGACGAACCACAAGCCACGGCCACCGTTCTTGAGGTCACAGACACGAAAGACGAAGACCCAGGTGGTATTACACCACGGCATAGCGAGGCCCACACTCGAGACCACTCTCAGGATGTGGAGAAGGCGGCCATGGGCACCTTAAACCAGACGAGTCTCCAACCTGCACACGCTAAGACTCATTCCATGTCGAAGAAAAGAAAGCAGGCTGCGAAAGAGAAGCGTCGAAAAACAGGTCAAGATGATAGAGATTGTTCGGTGATGTAAACATTGGCGGTTGGGCTTGCATAGGGCATGGGCATTGAGCGATCCTTCTTTTTTGCATTGCATTCGAAATGGCTACGGCCAGGAATTGGATCTGAACATATTGATGAGTTTCGAGCGTGGCGTTGGTGTTGTTTCGGGAGCGGGAAAGTGCGACCAGACGCATGGCGTTGGGTTCGCCTCTTGTCACTTAGATGCCGCGAGGCATGCACATAGCAACATCAAAAAGATGTTGAAGACGCAAGATTATGTGCAGCGATCGGTGCTGGACACTTTCTTAGGACATCAGCGCGCTAACCGTCTCCCAGTGTCTCAACGGCTCTGCAAGAGCCATGTACGAATTGGCGGCCTCTCCAGAAGGCTTCGTCATCAATATAAAGTCGGACATGTTCGGAGCACTTTTCTCTTCTCAGCTGTTGCTCCAGGACATGACAGGTGTCAGCAGCCTGGAGTCCCCCATTGCGTGCACCGCCAGGCGTAACGATTCTGCCAAAATGAGCACAATCTTCAGGCTGAGCAGCTCTTGTGCACACGGTGCAGGTGTGGTTTGCAGAATCTTGGAACCTTGCAAGCCTTTTGAGGGCCCAGTCGGTGTCACATTGGGATCGAGTCCGGATTCGGGATGAATTGGATTCCTGAATGCTTCATTGTGTCCCTCGATGCAACGTCGTCTGCAAAGGTTACGTCTCATAGACGCATCTCGCATGCTACAGCCGTGAAGCGTTGGCCGCTGAGACCTGAAGTCGTTGGTATCGCAGTACTCACGAGCCACTGCAACATGACAGCTCGGCACTCATGAGATCAACAGGTGCCTGTGTAATCAGCGTTGGCGGTTCCGCGGTGTTAAGAGCCTTGATCCCGCTCAATGTCGAGGTATACTCGGCTTCGCTTGTTCGGTGCGGCTGAAATCTGGCGATGAGTGTAAAAGGTTTCTAGGCGTTCTGGACGGCGTTTTTAGTTGTGCAGATGATGACAGTAGCAGGCCATCACGCGACAATAATGTGTGTGGAAGAAAAGTAGGCAAGAAGGCAGAAGCGTGGCGGTGCTGGAGCCGCCAGCTGCAGAGCTGCAGATGGTGATGTGCGCTATACCAAGCTCGGACTGTGAGGCCTGGGGCCAAACATTGCGTATTGCAGTGGCCGCCAGCCCTCAGTAGAGGCCGCCATAGTTCACATGTTCGAAGATTCCATGATTAGGTCTTGTCTTGAGTAACATTGACTTTGTATAAGAGACGTTTCATCTCACCTCCCAGCCCTCTTGTTTCTTCAGAGACAAGTTTCATACCAGGTACCACAAAGCAACCAGTCCCAAGAAGACCCACTCTTGTTCGAGTTCATTTCCTTACCTCTTTGCCATTTGCAATGGCGGGTGCAATCGATAACATTATTGCAAATTGCAATCAGCACCTGGAAGAGGCGTATGAGTACCTACACTATCAGCGTCAGGACCGGCTAGCACGAAACATCGATGCAATCATCGATGACTTGACCGGCATCAAGGCTCGCCATACTGAGCGAATCCAGCAAATCATCAACAACCACAATATAGATTTGCTGCATAAAGACGATGATCTCGAGAAGCGCCTTCGAGAGCTGGAGCAGGAGAGGAGCGCTAGACGTGCCGCAAGCCGGATTGCAGAGGAGCGACAGCAGACAATCGACCAGCAGCAGAAGACCATCCTGGATCAACGCAAGATGATCCGATCTAATGAGCAGAGCATCAAGGCCCTACAAGACGCGCTCGCCAAGGAACGGAAGAATAGCGAAGACCAGTACCGGCAAGGCTACAAAAAAGGATTCGCCGAAGGCGACAGAGCAGGAGGTCGAGACTTGAATGAAGTCGTGGCCCAAAGCTCATTGGAGCAAGGTCTCCAGGCCTTCGATGCCAAGAATTACAAAGATGCAAGGCGGGATCTGCTCAGCGCGAAGACTGGACTGGACAAGATGACTCCTGATCGAAGAGGCAGATTCGAGACTTCGAAGCTCCATTACGCCCTAGCAATCTCCAGTGCGTACGTCGAAGACATCGAACAAGCCAGGTCTGCCTTGACGGCATTCCTTCGCCACACCTCTGCGTTGGCCAATGAAGAAGAGCTTCTCCAGATTGCGCATGTACAGCACCTGCTCGCGCAGATATGGATCGGGCTCGATAATCTTCCGGAAGCCATCGCTGCTTGTGACTCCGCTTATCAGACGAGAGAGCGAAAGCTTGCAGCAACGCACAATTGGCTCCACCAGACCATGGCGTTGCGAGCTTTGATCTTTGACTACCAAAAGCAATCCGAGAGCGCCAGGGCTTTGAGAAGGTTGATTCCGGACCAGACGAGAGACGCATTGCAGCAAATTTATAGTGCCCTCAAAACTTTGGACAAAAGTCCTGCCCGTGGCAATCAGCTCGTTGCACAGCCATCGCCGGGAAGCCAACTTCTGCCAGTCTGGTTGATGGCCAGAGTCAAGGCCGTTCCAGTGCAGTCAATGAAGCCAGTGCCAATGACACCAGGCAAGCAGCAGGGCAGCAAAACGACCCAGCTTCCGCCGACGCCGCCCAGGACTCCAGTTGTCAATATGAAGTCTCGTGACACCTTGCTCACAGAGCTGAACTTGACCACTAATCCAGGCCAAGAGCTGTCATGGCGCATGAAACAGGCAATCATCACCGGCAACCAGAAGGACGTTGCTTCTCGAATTGACAACGGTGATCATGTCGGACCACCTGCGTTGCACCTTGCAGCTCTCTTCAACGAGCTGGAAATCGCAAAGTTTCTCGTTGAGCGTGGAGGTGCCAATGTCAATGGGCAGTGCATCTGCAATAGCTCAAAGCCAGGAAAGATCGTGTATGGCGTGACACCGATGCATCTAGCCATCGGAGCTCGAAATGTCAAGATGATCCGGTATCTGGCCAAGAATGGTGGTCTCTTTGTACGGCAAGCGGCGGGAGCTGGCCAGAGATTCTCTGCACCACCGCTTTGGCTATTGAATGAGCGTTGGTTGGCGAAGCCAGGGTATGCCGAGCCGCAGAATGTGGTGGCGGTATTGGCGACTATGAAGGATTGCGGTTGGGATACGTACGCTCGTCTCAATGAGGACGGGCAAACTATGAAGGATTTGGCGAACGAGATTCTGGCGTCAAGGCCGGCGTTGCAGGATGCTGTTCTTCAATTTTTGTCCTCAACGTACTTGAGCCCGTAGCATTGTAGCATTATAATACCAAGGCTGGGTTTCAGAGCTTTTCATAATATTCCACCTCCACGCGCCGTGGTGCCTCCTTCCATATGTTTTCATGTAGTTCATCCGTGACCATGTTGCGCTGTTCTTCATGGGGGAATTGCCCAAGCGAGCTGGGAACATCTCACGGGGCAAGCATGATCGACGACCTCTTGAACTGCTTCCTGAAAGTAGGCTCGTCAGCCTTGTGTTTCCGACAATCGCTGTGATGCTCGGTCGTAGGTCGCGGTTGATGGGATCACGGCACATAGCTCAACAGCGGACAACATTTCGAAGTCTTTCCTTGCGTCCTCGAAGCGTCGGCTTTGCTATGGACGTTGGACGCGATGGAGAATGGAGAGGGAGGTGAGGACAACAGCTCGGCCTGAGCTCGGTTTTGGGCGCCAAGACAGCCGCCCAGCCTCAGAATCAGAATTGCTTCTAATCTCACAGCAGAAACATGACTTGATCATCAACAACTCCAGCACAGGATGACGGAAGGCACTCCAAACGTCCGAGTGGGGGTCGGAGCCTTCGTTCTTGATCCCTCTCAAAGCACCGCATCAAATCCGTGCTTTCTCATAGGCAGGAGAATCGGCTCTCATGGTGCTGGAACCTACGCTCTTCCTGGCGGTCACCTCGAATTTGGCGAAAGTCCAGAGGAATGTGCCGCTCGCGAAGTGCTCGAGGAAACTGGTCTGGAAGTTACGAGCATTGAGTTCCTGACTGCCACAAACGATGTCATGTTATCAGAAAACAAGCACTACATCACAATGTTCGTTACCTGTGTACGGAAGAACTCCGCTGCTGAGCCGCAGACTTTAGAGCCAGACAAATGCGAAGGATGGGAATGGGCCTATTGGAAAGACCTCGTTAAATGGGTTAAAGAAGGAAGTGTGGTTGGCGATGACGGTACTCGAAGAATGCTCTTCACGCCGTTGATCAACTTGGTACACCAAAGACCCGATGCTGTACCCCGTGCTATCGAGAAAGCAACATGACTGCATGTCACAATTACTTCAGGTCCACAACGAAAACGAAGGCGGTTTCCACAATTCTCAGTCGAAAAGACCAAACGAGAGCAAGCGCTCCAGCTCGAGGCCTACAGTGTGTTCCCCCAGAGACCTTGGATCCTCCTCTCGCATCTTTCCTTCTATACAGCAAACGTACGGGCTACCATATAGGCGGTTAGACCGACAGATGAAGAAGTGCAGCCATTTGATATAATCTGAGACTAACATCTCCCGCAAAATTTGCACGATTCACTTGCAGGTTCTCCAAGCACAAGTTTGCTTTCAGACGGTCTGGGTACGGTGTTTTGCGAGTCGCGTCTTGGTGATCTCTGCTCCGGAATGCTGCCGGGAATTCCCCTTGATCTAAATACAGCATGGACGCTTGATGGGACGACGATCTCGTGCTACGGACATGCTGAGATTCCTCTCGTCGGTTCTCCCCAGGTGGTGGTGTGTGTTCGGCCTTGGCGGCGTCTCCTCTAAGAAGCACGTCTTGGCTATTGGATGCCTTGTCTTCGTCATCAAGTATAGGCTCTGTTTGCCGTCAATGAAATTGAGTGATCGCTGAGAGGCTGAGCTGAATGCGTTCTGATGTGAAAAAGACTGATGGGGGTGTATCTGAACAAAACAGCCGGCCCGACGGCTCGGGACCAGATCTTAGCGCCGATGCTAGCGTGAACCTCCGTCATTCAGCCTTGTCGCCTCATGCTCACGCTTCGCTTCAACTCTGACATCGCCACAAGGCTAACTCGCTTTCACCGACAGCCTCATACAGATCACATATACAAGATGGCTAACAATGAGCGGCTGTCGACGCCGCCGCGATCTACAGCAGCAGCCTCAGCCAAGTCCCCCATCACGCCCGAACAAGTGCGGCGCATGGAAGAGAGCCGATTACGAGCCAAAGCCCTTCGATCGCAGCAAGAAGCAGTCCAGAGTAGCAAAGGTCCTTCACGGCCTTCCGCAGCAGCTCCCTTCCCAGTTGCCGGTCAAAAGCGAACCCATGCCTCCATAACAAAAGACGTGCCTGCGACCAGTCGAGACGCCCGCAACTCCCCCGCCAAAGCACCTAAAAGCAACAATGGTCTGGCCACGGCCCAGGATGATGGCATCCGGGCGGCAAGGAAGTTTCAGAAGTTCGTCGAATACGACTTCAGCAAGATGACAGATACCAAAGGTGGTTTCATGACGCAGGAGGACGATCCACACAACAAGACACTGCATGCGCCCAACGAGGATGGCAAGCCTGCGAATATGACTTTGAAAGAGTGGGAGTACAAGCAGCTGCAAAGAAAGCTACGAGATCAGAGAGTGGGCCATACGAACCCGGTCTTTCTGCATTAGACGCAGAGAATCGAAAGAAATGCCGAGAGTGCGGCAGTCTGGAGATTGACTACCAGTGGGACGAGCTTTTAAAGTGCCAAGTTTGCAATACCTGCAAGGACAAATATCCGGAGAAATACTCGCTCTTGACCAAATCCGAAGCGAAAGAGGACTACCTCCTCACAGATCCCGAATTGAAAGACGAGAATCTTCTACCTCATCTCACAAAGCCTAATCCGCATAAGTCTACTTGGCACGATATGATGCTGTACCTTCGATGTCAGGTCGAAGAGTATGCTTTCAGTGATCAGAAATGGGGTAGTGCGGAGGGACTCGATGCAGAGTATGAAAGACGTGCTAAAGAGACGAAGGAACGGAAGGAGAAGAAATTCAGGAACAAGCTTAATGAACTGAAGAAGCGGACGCGAGTTGAAGCGTATAAGAAAGCGAGAAGTGGTGGAGGCGGCGACTTTGGAGATGTCATTGGGCCTGCAAGGCACGAACATGAATGGGGAAGAGCTGTGGAAGACCCGGAGACGGGGATGACGAGGAAGACGTGTGTGGATTGTGGTATGGAGGTGGAAGAGATGGAGCTCTGACTATTGTGTGTACTATGTACTTGCTGCGTTTATGATACCCCAAAAGCGGAAAACGTGAGTGTCCGGCGCACCCCTTGCATGCGTTGTTAAAAGATGCGGATACGAGGTTGCCTTCCATGACTGGCATCTGATCATCTGATGCTCACTACTTCGGGAGTGTGCGATGTGCTTCGGTGAAGATATGTACGAGGGTGTTATCGGATGTTGCGCTTCTAGAACTGCCGGAAGCAGGCACGCGAACTTCCATGCATAACTTCGCTGACTTCGCTTATCAAGAGGCAGCGAATCGGAGCAACAGGCAACACACCATGTCACCCCACCCAAAACAGAAATTCCACGATTCCGGACTGCGCGACTCTCATCACCGTCTTCACCGTGTTTATTAATGTTTTATTAGCAGTCTTCATTCACTCCAAACGTCCGCCGACAAATTTTCCTGGCAAGCCGCGCAAAACTCACCTACGCCTCACTGCTTTGTTCCTGTAACGAAGACGAATCGCATCTTCTTTCATCGGAAAGACAAAGGTACACGAACCAGGAACATTCGGGTTGACGGGATTGCGCTGCGAGAGGAGAGAACCGACGCCCTCCGCTCTCCGCCCTCCGCTTCGCCGCACGTATACCATCGCCTTTCGCGACGTCGTAACTCCTCGTTTTGGTATCGGGACCGCCAGGTCTGGGCAGTGAGCACCTAGGAGGGTGTCGTCACTGTTTCAAGGAGTTCGCGCTCGCGGAGAAACTCGCGTGCCACGTTGGACAAGAGGCACGCATTTCTAATCGTCTCCGGCTGAACTGGATCTGACTCCAACAAAGCAACACCCACTTACAACCCTTCACCACCGACCACTGAAGTATTTTCGCATCAAGTTCCGCATTCCGCGCCACCGCCGTCATGTTCCCAATCGACTCTATGCAGGCGCAGTACTTTGAAGAGCGTGAGCAAGCCGAGGCAGCAAAGCGACTAGCACATATACAGGAGCAGCGAGCCAAAGCCCAGACAGCCGCAGTCCAATCCGCTCTCAACGAGCCTCGAGCACAACGATCGCAGGCACCGCGATCTCTGTCGCATGCGCATCTACAGCCAATGACTTCTCCAAACTCTTCAACAGTGCTTGGCAACATTTTCCATGGGTTCGCCAGAGGCACATCGCCTGCGAAAAGTGCGTCAAGCGGGAGTTCGACGCCAGCGACTACGCCTCCCGTAAAGGTCATGACCCAGGCCGACATCGAACGGATGATGGAGAAAAAGAAAGACGCTGACTATGTCGGCTCTTCACCAGGATGGTGGTGATTGCGACTAAGATATACAAAACTTGATATGGCTCACGAAGGATACGAGCATATGTTTGCGATTCAGCATGGCGCTATTGGAGCGACACGGAACATCTTATTTGGTTGCGACGAGGCTTGCTGCTAGCGATAGCACTGCATTTCTGTTCGATTCTAGATATCCATGCAGTACGGAAGGGACTTCAGCACACTTATAATAGTATCCGCTGCGATGGGTCTATCCAACGCGGTATGACAATGCAGTGGAATGTAATGTGCCTTGGCATTCATCAGAGCCGTTCGGGCTCTACATTCGGTAAGCTCATTGTCACAGCTTTTCTTTGTTCATCATTCTGCACGCAGCACGAGCATGACGACCAACGCCATGAAGGGTCGTCTGCTAAGCATGTCACTCATCTCTGAGCATGACATACACGTCCTGTCGAAACGAAAGACCAAAGAGAAACGTACGCCATGTCTGACATGCCAGGCTACACCGACAGCTGGACTGGCAATGCACAACCCAAGGTTCATTCACCGGTCCATTCGTCTCCTGGCCGCTTTGCAAATAGACAGAAACCCATTATTTCACATCCGATGAGTGCTGGGCATATGCGTTCGCCTACAGACGAAGAGTTTGCGGGCTTCCGGTCCAAAGAAGAGCCTACTGGTCTCGCTGCCGAGCCACTCAACATCATCATTCTGGGAGCATCATTTGGTGGCCTGTCTTGCGCTCACCACTTTCTCGACACAACGCTCGAACAGCTCAGCAAGACCAAAGATGCAGGCTTGACGTACCGCCTGATTCTAGTTGGCCCTTCAACTCATATCTACTGGAATATTGGTGCCCCACGCGCCATTGTCAAGTCTGGACTGGTCAAATCAGAGGATCAATTCCTCCCGATCGAACCAGGCTTTCATAAGGATCGCGCCAAGAACTTTACCATCATCCAAGGCAAATGCGTCTCCATGGACGCTACATCTCGAACAGTCTCTATCGAATGTACCGACTACGAAGCCCAAAGGCGCCTCCACCTCGTCGCCCCCAAAAATTCCGGCTTCAAACTACCAGGGGGCAAAATGGCCGACCTCCCCAAAATCCAAACTCTCCCCTACCACGCCTTAATCATGTGCACCGGCACCTCAGCCCGCTCCGAACTCCTCTCCCTCCACGGCCAATACCTCGAAACCGAAGCGGCCCTCAACAGAATCCACCAACAGATCCACCACGCCAAATCCATCGTCGTCTGCGGCGGAGGCTGTTCCGGCGTCGAAGTCGCCGGCCAACTGGCAACCTACCTAAACTACAAACGCCATTTCCCCTTCCGCCAAAAATCCTCCAACCCAAAAAAGATCACCCTCCTCTCCGGCGGCACCACTCTCCTCAAAGAAGTCTCCGCCCTAGGAAAACCCGAAATCTGCAAGAAAGCCGAGAAACAGCTCAAAAGTTTGGGTGTCGTCGTCAGACACAACATCCGCGTGACAAGTCATGAATCCTGGTTCGATCAAACGGGAGCCACACGTATCACGTTTGAAGACGGGACCACGCATATCACAGATGTATACATCGATTGCACCGGCGTAGAACCGAATTCAGATTTCGCTCCAGAAGCGATCAAATCTCGCAACGGATACATCCTCACCAACAACAAAACTTTACGTGTCGACGTCGCTGGGGAACGGGTGTATGCTTTGGGTGACGTGGCGAGTTATTCGAAAAATTACGTTCTGGACGTCTACCACGGCGTTCCCGTCGTGATGCAGAATCTTCTGAACGATTTGCTTCTGCATCGATGGAAGACTGCGAATCCGGATTCTGATCATCGAGAGAAGTTTGAGGCTTTGGAGCAGAAGGAGTTTGATGCGGATTTGCCGAAGAACAGTCAGATTTGTCCGATCACGAAGTTTGGAGGGGCGGGGATTTTGGGAGGGTTGAAGTTGCCGAGTTTTGCGGTTTGGGGGTTGAAGGGGAGGAATTATGTTGTGCATAAGGCGAAGATGGTGGTGGTTGATGGGGGGAATCCTTATGCTAGTCCGGTTCAGGGGGACAAGTATTATTCTGGGAGTAAAGGATAGGGAGAAAGAATGAGGGTGGGTAGGTCTGTGGGTGGATGGATGATTGTGATATGCTTGTTTGGATTCGGTGATATGCCTAATGTAATGAAAATAGTTTGTTTCCTCGACCGTCGTCACGCCACGCCACCTTTCCCATCACGACTCAAGTACAGCTATCGCTCCCAGCGATAAACTCCCCATCACTATTCTCACACCCACACTCTCCCGTCTGCGGATCCCTGATACAACCAGCCCCCACACCAGAACTATCACCACTACCATCCCAGAAGAAAGTCCAATAGTCGCCATCAGATTCAAAACTGGTAGGAACAGTGCAAGTGTATGCCGAACAAGTTCCATAAGGAGCACCATGGTTGCCATCCTTGCTGTGGTCGATTTCGAAGACTGCAAAGGTCTGTGGGTCGGAGGTGCGAGTGTTATATGCGCATTCGGCAGCTTGGATACCGCTTGAGGTCTTGGCAGCGGAGCTATCGAGAGATGTGAGGAAGTTTGGCCTTCTGAAGGTGAGTCGCGGATTTTGCTTTTGCTCACCAACGTATGTTCTTTGGCTTTTTGCCCTTTGAATTGGATGTGCATGGGTCGAGCGTTGCTTGCGCGCACGCCAGCGTGAGCGCGATGTTGAGGAGTGTGCTGCAATGCATGTTGCGAGGATTGGGAAAGGAGTGTACTGCTGTGGTTGATGATGAGAAGATTCAAGAAGCGGACTTGCATGTATCTTGTTGCTTTATACTTGCTCGAATATGGAGAGAAGAGGTTCTGGACACACTGAGCCCGTCCCGGATGGTCAGCGTATACTGCGAGCTGCTTCGCTGTTTGATAGGAATTGCGCTGTACCACAGCAGGTTTCGAGTATCGGCGACTGTTACGGGGGTTTCTGAATATATTCCCATTGCGTTGGACATTGGCTCGTTCAACAACCTAGGATCCTCAAGCCTGTCATAAGTTCGGCTTCATCTATTCGAAGCAGAGCCAAGTTTCATATGTGGGGCGAAGCAGATGACTATGTAGAGATTTGCTTGCCGCGCTCTGGAAGCGAGGCCTTGGTTGCAAGTTGAATTCTTATTTCTTCCACTTCCTCAAACAACCTGTCCATGCAGCATGGTCCCACGTGTCGTCACATGCCAATTTGTGTCAAGCTTCACGTGGCACAGAGTTCCATATAGAGGGAGACAACCACAATCTCAAACTGTTGGAGGCAACTTGTCTTTCTGGTCGACTGCATGTTCAATCATCGAAAGGCACCTCTTCCGCAAGCATAGCCTGTTCGAAGATTGCATCAGAAAGCTCGGCCGGTAGTCGGTTACTGACTGCGATGTCGACGCAATCCCCTGTAATAACTCGTTGGCTGTCGGCGTTCATCGGCAAAACAGGCATCAACCCCTACCGCTCCACCACGGCTGAATCCGAGACCCAATCGGACAGTATCGCTGTTCGAGTAGTGATGCAGGTTTGTATAGAGCCACACCGGATTTAGCATAGAAAGCGGAACCTGACAAGGGGACTGCTAGGGTGGGTGTTCGACGGACTTAACCACGGACTTCGTTAAGGGGATGGCGGATTTCTCTCTGAGCTTTCTTGCGAATAGGGCCTATCAGCTGCAAGAATGTCCCAGGATCCGACCCCATCTCCTGCCAGCCATCAAGTAGTTCTCTCCATGCCGCCGCGAAGCCCCAATAGTCTCCCGCATCTCCGGCTTCAGAGTGCTGATCCAACATCCAGAGCAAAGTTTCATCGACATATTGCTGCTCCCTTCCGAGATTTCGAGGATGAACACGAGACCTGCCCGACAGAAGGACCTTTGCTCGTACCGTTGCGAAAAGCGAGAATGCTACAGAGGGGTTCTGTCGACTCTCGTAGAGCGCGCGCTCCAGCAGCAAATGCACCTTTCCGGTGAAAGTCCTACCGAGGAACTCGTGGTTCGGTCGCGGTAGGCTCGCGGCATGGGGCAATCTTTCTTTCAGGTAAGCAGCAAAATCCTCAGCATCTGGAAGCGGCATTTTGTTCAGTGTCTCCACAAGTTTTGAATCGTCAAGAGCTACATCGGTCGTCAGATGCCCGCATTCTGGCCACTTCGCTCACTACTCACACGTCAGATCTTTCAGATGTCTATACCATCTCGGATCGGCATGTTGTGAGACGTCTAGAGTAAATTGCTTCACGTTTCGCTCCAGCTGGGCAGTCTTTGCTCGTATTGAATCCGCTGCTTGGGCCAAAATTTGCTCTATTTCCGTCAAGGTATCCTGCACAGAATCGGCAGTCTCCCAGGGCTGATCAGATCCAGCAGACACGCCCAGGTATTGAGCATATCTATTGAAGCGCTTGCACTGAATCTCAATAGACGACTGGCAAGTATCGCTCAGTGTGAGTGCGCTGGCTGCTGAGACTCGTAATCCAAGATGTGGTATCGCTCTTTGAGCACTGAGTCCTGCTTTGAATGTGGGTGAGCCATGAGTCAATGCCAGGAAACTACATCGTCGGCGATTTGGGCGCTCAGCCTCATCTCCGGATATAGAAAGCATTCCTGGGATTCGTCAGAGATTTATGTTCGAGCGACTTTGATGTTCAAGTCAGGATGATGAACCTTTGAGGTCGACAGCTGCCCTTCGCCGTTGCAGGTTGACCGGCTGACTAGAATAGAACTACCCGCCATTGTACCCCTGCCCCTGCTTTCCTGCAGCGAATGCCAACGATTCAGCAACACGTCTTTTGGCAGGCAAGAACTTGGAACTGCGTACGACCGAGATGCGTGGTTCAAGCTGATCCAAAAGAGTGCTTATCGGTGCATCTAGTGGTATGTGTCACCTTGGCAGATGAATGATGAATCGGTCGCGCCTCTTGCCAGTCACTAATATCGTGGCCATATCAAGCTGCCAGTGAGGAACGCACCCGTACCGTACCAGCGAGTGAGTCCTTCCATTGATAGCCAATTCCAGGCTCCCAAAATGTCCTTGTGATGCTGTCGAATAATCCTCGAACGGAGATGGCTCCATCAGAATGCAGCTCTCGTTCCGGCTGTTTGTGCATTGCTACGCGCCAGCTGCAGATCCAGCTCTCAGCCATTGCTTCACTGCGACAGTGAATTGTTCTGAGACGAAGTGAGGTGAAGGAATCAAAGATCAGACTCGCAACTCGCTACCTCACGTTAGATGTTTGACGCTCGACAGGAGAACGGCATAAACACGATCGCGAATCGCCTCGGCTGAGTCGGCTCTAGTATGCTGTATTCTCATCCCTGCTAGCCTGTAAAATACTACAGTAGGTAGGTTCTAGTCTTCTAGATAAGCAATACATGTCAACCGGACCAATCCGTTATATAACCCACCTACAGGCTACAGCCTTGGACGTGCTCAGCTCAGCCCTCACAACCCTAAAAACACCACAGTGATCCAGCCACTCTACACCACTGCCGAAATTCTGGTTATCCATACGAAGCCTCCAAGCGATTCTTATATCCGTTCTTGAGTCATCTCTGTCGATATGTCCGTCTGTGAGACAGGGAATGAGTTGCAAGGACTTTTTCATTATCCTCGACGTAAGGTGGTGAATGAAAGCAACGCTACGAATAGAATAGGTGAGACCGAATCCTTGCATCTCCAGAGTCCTCGTCGCTTTGCTCGTATGATAAGATGACCGAATTCCTCTTGGCTACTGCAAGGAATCGATTCTGGACAGAATGTGTGGAAAAAAAAACACATATAGGAGCAAATGGAAGGCGAAGTGCCGATGACTCGAGACATCATCTACCGGAACTACATACATTGGTGCGATGCCAAGAACTTTCGACCATTTGCTACTACCTTAGGTATATTGATCTCTTGGAGAGGAAGCATATGGTCGTACACAGGCCTGGTCTATCATCCAACGATGTAAGGTTTGCACAAGAGAACGCAATGGATCACACTCCTAACATATGATAATCGGCCTTTGAGCACTGCAGTGATTGCAAGGAACGCATATATTTGCAGATGGGCCAGGGCTATGCGATCACATAGCTGCGTTGCCAATCTGATGCGTTCGCTCGCGGGTGCTGCTCCATACGCTGCTGCTTTCTCCTGGGAGATCTGGCTGGAAATTAGAAATGTGAATGAGAGACAAGAAGACTTGTGCCCGCTTCGAAAATGCCGATTCACGCTTAAACGTGTGCTACTACACCTGCCCTCTTACGCGTATCTGCGCCCTGCATAGCGAAACATCCTAACTCCTTCCATCCTGAAAACTCCAGTTGCCATAAACGTGCCATTCCTGACATGGGTATCCTTCCGCCTATCATGTTGTCTTACAGATGCATGCTCATTTGAGCATCTCATGCATCGGCCTTCTTGCTCTTCTTCTGTTCCACCTTGAGCAGGAGCGCGCGGTTGATGTGTGGGAGGACACCACCAAAGGCAATAGTAGCACGGATCAACGTGTCCAACTCCTCGTCACCACGGATCGCAAGTTGCAAGTGTCTTGGCGTAATACGCTTGACCTTGAGATCCTTCGCAGCGTTGCCAGCCAGTTCCAAAACTTCGGCAGTGAGATATTCGAGGACAGCGGTAACGTAGACAGCAGCCTTAGCGCCCACGCGCATCTTGTTCTGGGTTTGCGACTTCAAGAAACGCTTGACACGACCGCATGGAAACTAGTATACGCGACAAGGTCAGCAAGTGCTTTATTAAGGCTTTGTATGACGCGTCGAGCTCCCAGCGTGGCGCTCAAAATACGCACGCGATTGCGCAGCGTGATATTGAAGTGGTGGAGTGCGACCGGGCGCAAGAACATGCTATGCGCCGCGCCGCATGACTCCAGGTTTGCTGAGGCTCGGAAATGCTCGCCCACGTACCTGAAGACCAGCTTTTGCAGAGTGCGACTTCTGCGACTTGCCAGCAGAGTCGCTGCTAGCCTTTCCACCGGTTTTACCACCAGTCTTGCCTGTTGAGCTGTCAGATGCGCCCGTGCCAAGCGGAACTTCGCGATTCTTTCGTACCCTTGCCTCCTGCCATTGCGATTACTGGGTTCGAAGGGTAGTGGGTCGTTTGGGGAAGCTTGCAATATTGTTATACCAAAATCGTGTGTTGATGTGTGGTCGTGTGGATGGAATGCACGAAATGCGAGGTGGAGGATGCGGTGTTGTTCGAGGACGCGCGACTCTCAGGCGGGAAACTTGGCGGGCAGTTGGATTGGCTAGTTCTAGCGCGGGCGCGGCGGCAACAACAAAGCTCGAAGATATCGGGCCCGTGCTTTGCTGCAAGACTGCAGTGCAAATGGGGTTCGACTGATCGAGAGCCAGCTTTCATAGCATCTGTAGCTCTGTCAGCAGTCACAGATAGCCAGGCAGAAGCGTGGCAGTCTTTGCATACCCAATGGCCTCGTCATAGCTCGGCAATTGCCCTGGAGCTGTTCTGATCTGTGATTGTAGATGAGCAAAAGATCATAAGGAATGTTGCGAGCCTGGTTCTAACCCACCTGGCAAAATTCTGCTCAGTCAGTGCAGCTCATCGTATATAATCATGATCAGCGTGCCATCTTGGGCCATGCCATAGGCCTCCGAGCCCTCTGGGCATGTATGGAGCGAGCCGCATTGAGGCCCATATCCAGGCTTCAGTGGAGCCCGCCATGAAGTTGGAAAATTGGTGAGTATCGATAAAGGAGTAGTCATAATACTTGAGTCCATATTCAGCAGGGTTTGAGCCTTGATATCAGAAATCTTGGGGGTGTTTTGAAGCATCTTGTTGCCAGGCATCGCAGTGAAGTAGAGAAAGTGCCAAGACACGAGAGCCTGGTCGAAAGAGGTTAGCGTATGATTCCCTCGCTGGGCAATATGGCGTTCTCTTTTCGTACATGCATCTCAAGCAAAGTCATGACCTGAGTATCCCCGATGCATGCGGCAGCCAAGTTACAACCCGGTCGGCAACCGCGAGTGCGAGAAGACATGTTCACCAACCCGCATTGACCTCTTTCCACCGATCGCAGTGACCAGCGGCGATTCGTATTAGACGCGTATAATCCCAGCTTCTATGACAATATGAGTGAGAGTTGAAAGAGCTCACTCGCATCGCTCGCCTTGCGACGTAAGTGGAAGCTGAAAAATCACACGAGCGAGTAACTCCAAAATTCCGATTGGATGTAGAGGCCGCATACTGTAGCTGAGGCCTTCAAAGCACTCATCTGCATTGGAGCGAATTTACTGTTCATGAGTCACAAAAGCCCTGGGTCTTTCTGGATTAACAGATCTCACGTCCTTTTAGCTGATCTCGCTATCCCTCCCTCCCGAGTCCCATCAAGCCTATTACACTCCCATTCGCACCTCCGCTATCAATTCGAAATTCCAAGATTCTTGACACTTCCTATTCTCCTCTAGACGACTTCCATCTCAAACTCCTCCGCAATCAACCGTCGCAGCTCAGTCATAAAAGTCACCTTCTTCAATTCCTCCTCAGAGCAACCGCAAGGCCATCCCACGTATGGGTCCTCATAGACCTCAATAGTATCGAGAATACTCCACTTCGGATGCCGAGCCTGGTACGAAGCATGCAGAAATTTCAAAAGAGGGAGGAAATCTCGCAGTAGGGTTTCAGGTGTAACGAAGCTGGAGGCAGACTTCCTCTTCCTGAGACTGTGCGACTGAGACTGACAGACATCGTGGTGCGAAATCCTCAGCTTCTTCAGGCTCTTGGCGATCTGGAGAGTTTCGACTGCCGTACCCACCCAGCTCTTGATGTAGGCTCCTTGAGGGAAGTCGATGCTGTGGAGGTACTTCGCTCCGTCCCTCAGCATGGGAAGGATGACGGCGACTTCTCGAAAGGTGCGGAAGACGAATGTACCATTGCCGTAGAGTGCTGGAAGCGCCTCTTGATGCATTTGCTTCGCGGAGAAGAGTAGTGCGATGGGCGATGGTGGTGGCGGCAGGAATTTCTTCGTCTTGGGATCCCATTTTCCACGGTTCTTGTCTTTCTTCTTGTAATCTTGGTCTGGCTTTCTCTGATACAGCTCCGGGCGATTGTGGTACTTGCTGTCGGGTTTGTGCTCGACTACGACGATGTTCTGCCGAGGCGAGCGGACATTTTCCATGTAGAAGTTGAAGACAATCTTGCGCAATTCTGTTGGCAGATCGAGGAGTCGAAAATGGCCCTGGTGAGCAGCAGGCTTCGTTCGTGAAGCCGGCTTCTTGGCTTGAGTCGATGATGATGACATGCGGGATGAAGCAGTTGCCGGAGCGCTCTTGTAGGTAGAGGACGTGATGCTCCAAGGCCCATTGAGTGTGACCGGGAGCATGTTCGTGGTCGATCCATTTGGTACCTTCGACTTTCGGGTGCTCTTCTTCGCGGGAGCTGCCATTGTCAAGGCAGCGACTGATTGAGTACTGAAGTGGCGGACTTGAATTCGCAGACGTATGCGTATCTGCTACGAAGGCTGAAGATCAAAAGAAGTTACGTAGAATGGGCAGGTGTCTAGGTATAGGTCAATTGTGCGCACAAAGACGATGGTATATTTGCGCGCGCACATACTTCACGAGCGTGTCGAGATGGCGGCTCCGTTGGAGTCGGGCGCTGTATGTAGAAATTGTAATCGCTATGCAGATCTCGACTAGTGTAACGAGTCTAGTGACCAGTATTGACATTCGAGTTGTCGCGAATAACTTTTGTGTGTTGTTTATAGGTAGAAGTGCCAAGCGGATGGCCGGTTTGCGGCATGCATGCCGCGCTTGTGAAGGCTCAGCACAGACCATGTTTGCCTCAATATGCAGCCGCGAATATTGCATGTGATTCGAGTTAAGTGAAGCGAACCCTAAGCTGAGCTCAGACCTGAGTTCTGAAGCTGTACGACAAGAAACCAGAGTGGAAATGCATGTCGTGTATAGATCAAGACGACGAGGCTTCGGATTTACCATCATCCCGATCCTGAGCATCTGCTTGAAGCATCTGAAAGATATCCATCGCGTCGGATCGCGAGTCTGCTGGCCGATGTCTAGGCTGTCTTGGAGCACTACTGGGTGGCATGCAAGCTGGCGGCACTCTGCACATGGCAGCCCGGCTTTCTCCTTGCACGCCCTCGAGCTTCGTGGGATGCAGAAGACTACTTCCTGAATTGCCTAATGTCATTGCTTGAGAATCTCCCGGCTCCCACGCACCGCTGCTTCCAGACAAATTCGGTAAATTCATAGCATGCTTTGCTGGGCCAGTCTGCTCCAACAACCTTGGGAACATTCTTGTGACCAGCGCCTTCAAGGAGAGGATGGAGGCACAAATGATGCTGATATTGCCTTGAACACTAGACCAGATAATGGCCCATACACCGGAAAGGATATAATCTCCTCGAGCAGAGGTTGCCAAAACCGTAGCCATACGAGCGACTCCGACTATACATACCACAAAGCCAAGAAGGAAGGCGAGCATGGTAGCGATCTTCTGTTTTCGTGGCAAGTGAAGCCCTGCAATTGATGGCATTGGCAGGACGAGAGTCCAAAAATCCAGAAAGATGTCAATGGCGGCAACGGACGACCAATATGTTTGAGCACTTCGGCAGTGGCCCGGTATCTGAGGATCCCAGATCTTTGCCGTAGGTGTGCATAAGAAGATGCCTCCAAAGATGCCCCAAGCAGTCGCAGGCAGAAGTAGAAACAAAATGAAGTAGCAGCTTCTTCTGGTCCATGTGCCATCGAAAATCCGCAAGTATTGGGCCAAGATAGATGCTTTGGTGATGTTGACGAGTATTGACCAGAGCGTATTCAAGGCCACTATGAGTTTCGCGATTGCCTGAAGATCCACGCGCCCTTCGTAGTGACCCACGCCTTTCCCAATGCTGACTCCAATGATGATGCTCATTGCCCAAGAAATGACCTGATTGAATTAGCGTCTGATGGGTTGTATAGGTCTAATGTGAGCTCCCACCAGCGATATCAGAATCACGTAATCGTCCTTGCCCAGGCGTTGTACCAAACACGCTCTCGTATACCATCGCAAGGCAACGACGAGTGTAGCTAGAGTCGTGAAGGCAATCGTCGGACCCAGCGCTTCAATGCCAACGTCACCGGCTCCGAACCGCGCGGCTACGGGGGATATTGGCTGAGATTGGATTGGCATGCTCGTATTGACCGAGTTGTCATCAATGTCCTCTCGAAACATACTGACGCCGACCGGGAGTACTTCGAGATGCAATGCATGATCTGCAGTCGAAGCAGTGATAGAATGACCACATCTTCATTCAGCTACAGGCACGTGTCTCGCTCGATGAACAAAAGGTACCGAAGCGGAGGGCCTTGACAGCTCAGATGGGGCTCCGCATGATGAGGTGAAGGCCATTGGGAAACGTCTAGATTGGATTGCTATCATCAAGTCCATAGCGATGTGTGCAAAGCACATTGCAGAGTCTATGAGAGGCTCGAGTCTCGGCAAGCTTTTCGCTGCCCCATGGAACCATCATCGAGCCGGCGATTTTATCGCGAACTCCGGAGGTTGCCTTGGTCCGATTCTGAACGCGCAGCTTTCTTGATGTGCATGTTTGAACAACTCGAGTGGCTGTCTCCGTCACCGATACTGGATGTTTTTCCAACGTTTAGAGCCCAGGAGGCATCGACAGGCGAGGTGGAATTAGGCCAGCAGGTATCCGGAATGTCAATGTGGATGCGGCTCTGGGACCAGATGGCATTGGCCAAATAGTCAGTGAATGACTGAAGGCGGACACGCTTCTTGGGCGGTGTGATTCATGCTGCGATGGAACGCTACATGCTTGGGGCTTTGACATCAGATCTTGTGTCACTAGTGAGCTCGTGTCTCGCCGGGTGCCTTCACCCAATGCATCGGCGCACGAGCCGTCATTCAGTTTGGGTTGTGTCGCCCGTTCTCGTTCCTCGACCGTTTCCGCCGCAAGAATTGCTGCTTCGCATAGCTGCGAGGCGCGAGGCTGAAACGTGAGATGCTCACTTACTCCGTGAGCTTTGCAATGCACTTTTTTGCTCAGCCATACTTTGAAAGAGGGCCAATTTGGTCCGAAGGTATGCTTGGACAATCGCATCATCCTCATGCGACAAGCTATGAGGCCTTGTCGACTTCGTTGGGACTCCAGTATTCCATGCTTGGATAGATGTGACTTTCCCGTCGCCAAGATACTTATGCACGCTGCCACTGGACGATGTCGACTTTGTGCTTGAGGATGTCGAGCTGTTCGTCCGATGCGGTTTACGCCTGGTGTTTCCGGTTGTGGTCCTCATGTCTGATCGAGTGGTTGATGGGGCCTCGTTCCTGCCGTCACCGGGCGACGACATGATCTATATGACGATGGCCGAAGTGCGGCAACGATATCGTGATGGTATGTCTGCACGGGAGGAAATGGAGGCACAACGATGGTGGCGACATCGGGACGGCATACAAGTGTGATACTTGATACTTGACAAATACACGACAACGAGAGTCGCTCACGGGGTCAGCTCGGCGTGGAGACCTTGCTGGAGATTGCCTTTCGACACGCAGGAGCATTGCGGCGAGACTGCTGCTCAGATTTGGAATTGTGATATCTGCGTGCCTGGGATGAACGCCGAAGACCTGGCGAGTTTAACGCGGCATAGCCCAGTGGCACAACAATATGCCATGTGGTGATTAGCGAGGTGCAGTGTATGACATAAGAAGAAAGTTCCGATCGAGCCGAGGTGGCTTGCAAACAAGCTTTTGGCGATTTGAAATCAATCGTAAGAAGTGAGAAACATCCGTGCTCACGTGGCTACCACGATGTGGAGACAGAGTTACGGCTTGTGAAGTCCGATTGGGTTGAGGCTCAGTATTTGACGACGGCTTTGTTCCGGTGGCGCCTCGCCTCGTGCCTACTCAGACAACGACACAATCTTCATTGTTCAAGCTTCAAATACTCGAGCGCATATAATATATTGCACGCCGGTGCAAAGATTATCTACAGAACAGAAGATGACTCATCAATACCCACGCACGAACGATTTGAAAAGACCCATGGCTCCGAATCCTCCGATAATGCGTGTCGGAACATACATACTTGGAATCCATACCAGAGCTCTTCACCGCTTGATCCCTACCAACATTATTGCCTAAAAAGATGCCGCGTCGATGCAAGGACAGAGTATGGGCAGATGTATTCCAAAACTTGGAAACACCCATGGCTTGAACCTACAGCAGCATGGCAGCCACAAAAGCGCCGCCAACAATGCATGCACGCACACGGGAAGCTTTCCTCCATGACAGATACTCTGCTTCTGATGCAAGTGATATCGCTACAGTACAGAATCTCGGTGTTGGAACTTTTGACACGTTTGATTTTGATTTGATTACCAAGTTTCTGTCGATCGCTCTACTCCTATCGCTGTAGATCAGAACGTGATCTTCCACCCGCTGCCAATCTTGACAGCAGGATCACGGACAACCGCCCAAGCAGCCTTGCCCTCGACCTTCTTGTGGAAGTCAAGCGGGACTTTTCGTGCCGCCGCACTCTTCTTGCCAGCTGCAATGTCTTCGCTGACTTCCACCTCCGTCCTGTCTTTCCATGCATCGGGTGCTCCGACAACGATGATCTTCTCGACACGAACCTTATCCATCTCTTTCAAATACTCCTTCGTCTTCTTCCCGCTCGTGCTCACATCCTCGCTCGTCAAGCTCGAAGCTTCGCCATTGTACACAAATCGTCGATGGATGTATGCGCCGTCCTGGTAAGCGTACGTCTCACCGTCGTCCAAGTACAGAGTGCCTTCTGCGTCACCCGAATGCCCGAGTACGACGACGAGCGTGACCGGGTCGTACATCATGAGTCCAGAGCTCCTCCTCGGTCTGTCGCGACGAGGAATGATGTGACCGCCACGCATCAGCAATGGAATCGTTTCCAATGGCGACGAAAGAGCCACCTCGCCCGGACCTTCGTACGTCCAGAAGTCGAAATAGTCGTAGTACTTCTCCTTGTCAGCAAGGTAAACAGCTTGGCCCTGCTGACCTTCCTTAGTCACGGGCTTAGCGAGAAGACCAAAGCTACCCAGGTAGAATTGATCATCAATTCCAAAGCCCTTCTCATCACCAGGGAACATGTAGTAGTTCGGTCGCACGATAGGCGCGCCCGTGACGTGAGACTCGTGGAAAGCCGTGTACCACGCGGGTAGCAAGCTGTATCGCAAACGCACAGCTTGCGTGATGATTCCTGTGTAAGGCTCACCAGCCAAATATGGTTCTCTGCGACGCGTGTCGATGTGAGCATGTGCGCGCATGAAAGGATACCAGATTCCAGCTTGGTACCACCGCGTGAGCAGTTCTTTGCTCGGATTGCCGAAGAAGCCACCAATGTCCGCGCCTGCGAAGGGGAAACCTGTGATGCCCATGCTGAGTACCATTGGGATGGACGCTTCCAAATGAGACCAATCCGCTTGATTATCACCTGTCCACATGGCCCCGAGACGTTGGCTACCCGAGAAGAAAGCCCGCGTGAGGACGAACGGACGCCGGTTGTTTTTCTCTTCTTCTTTGTCACGAGCGAGGAGGCCTTCGAAGGTGGCGTTGACGAAGGTCATGCCGTTGATGTTGTGGATGTCCCGGTGTTCCCAGCCACCGTGATGGACATTGTCCTTTGGCATCGTGACTTCAGGCCCATTGAATACGGATGGCTCGTTCATGTCGTTCCACAACCAGACGTTCTTGGATGTGCCAGGGAACTTGCTGTATTTGAATAGTCCTGCAAACCACTTGCGAGCGGCTGGATTGAAGCAGTCTACCCAATGACTGCTTCCAGGCCAGCACCAACCTTCGTAGATGCTTCCTTCTTTGTTGTGCACTGCGAGATCTTTTGATTTCAGTTCGTCCACGACGTGGTAGCCGCCTTCGTTCTTGATGTGTGGGTCGATGATCACCACAAGCTTCCGTTCATGCTCGTCCAGCTGCTTTTGCATACCGATTGGGTCGGGGAATGTCATGCCATCCCAGGTGAAATATTTCTTGCCATCAGTGTATTCGATGTCAAGCCAAATCACGTCGTATGGAATGCGAGCCTTGTCGAACTTGCGATCTACATCCTTGACATCCTCGTCCGTGACGTAGTTCCAGCGACATTGGTGTGAAGCGATTGCAAAGTGCTGTGGAAGCTGTTGCGTGCCGGTGAGCTCTGTATAAGCACCAATAACATCCTGTGGTGTGGGTCCAAGGAAAACGAAGATATCGAGTAGACCGGACTCACTGATCCAGTGCGTGTTAGTGGTGGTCTTGCCAGCGATTCCGAGACTGAGCGGGTTTGCGATGGAAGAAGTCTTGGTGATATCGACCCATGTCTCGGCGCCATTGAGCCAGAAAACACCAACAGCAGAATCTTTCTTCTGTGCCTGCATGAATGGAATGCTTCCATACAGCGTCATCGGGCTATCCATCTCGTATTCGAAGACATCGCTGTTGTGCATCCTGTACGGCTGCGAAAACTGGCCATCGCCGCCGCGGGTCTCCTTCAGCGCCAATGGACCAGTGTGCTCGGAGATGCCATAAACATACTCGTAGCCAGGGAAGGACACGTCCAGAGCGACAGCTTCCGGGCCTTTTGGCTTCGTGTCGGTGTTTCCACCAAATGACTCCTCCCACCATGTGCTCTCATCGTCAGCCGCCTCTTTGTCGCTCTCAGCAACCACAGCTTCGTCTCCCTTCTTCTCTGCATCCTCCCCTTCCTTTTCAGGCTCTTTCTTCTCGACCTTTTTGCGCCAGTGCTCCACATTGAGCAAGCCACGATCGTTGAGTTTGATGTGAGTCTCGCCATCACGCTTGAAGTCAATGCTCAGCGGTGAATGCTTGATGACTGCTTCAAACTTGCTGGTAGGTCCATACTTGACAATCGTGGTACCTTTCTCAGCATCCTTGTCGAGTGCTGCGCCGGTACTGACAGTGGTGCCTCCAACGATTGCCCATTTCTCAGCTTCATTACATCGCTGCTTTTGAATGTCCTTGCGGTCATGTCGAAGCTCAATCTTTCCCTGCTGCCGCCTTTCCTCGTCAATGGTCACGCGAGCAACGCCGGATTCATAGAATGATATTGTGACGGGAAGCCTGACGCTCTCGTCGCTGTTGATGATCTTCTTGTATACAACACCCGTCAAGATGCCCTGGCTAAATTTTATGGTCGATCGATCTAACGTATATGGAGATTCCCAATTGGAATTGGACGTCGCTGTGTCGGCGTATAATCGATTCCGTTTACAGAACCCGGATTGATCGCAAGTCTTGAAATCTTGATGCTTCACCATCACTGTATCAATGTCAATGCCTGACTTGTGTAACCTGGTCCGGCGAGCATTGAGAGCTCAATGATCAACAAGGGACGGCTGCAAGCTTACCGGCCGGCGTGATGAGATAGCATATTGCCACGAGCAGAAGCAGAATGCTCCGCCATGAGCCACTGAAGGCCATATTCGTCTACCTCGCTGTCGTTCTCTAGGAACAACAACTACATGCGGTGTTGTCTCTGGGATTTCAGACAGTTGTCCCTGTGCTTGACCAGACGCGATTGGGCGAGCATTGAGAACGAAAGTCGTGGATCGATTGGCCCAGCGATGATGCAAGTGAGACAACAGCTTCAATCATGCTGCAAGTGCGATGCAGAGCTATGGATGAATAGGAAGGTGTGAGTGTGTAGATGGAGAAATGCCATACCACATGGTGTAAATGATCATAATCAGGCATTTTTTCTGGTGCTCGCAGTCTCCAACACTTCAGGTTCTTCCCAACACGACTTTCGACCACTGCCGACTGCTCCACCACGCTGCCCCTGCGTCCCGCTGCGAAGCTCACCCCGCGGCGGCGGTGTGCCAAAAATTCAGAATGTCTGAACAGCAACCTCCAATCTTCAAACACCTCAACCCAAAAGACCGCGGACACCTAACAACAGTGCTCCGTGAAAAAGCCAAAGAGAAAGAAGCATCAGACAACATGTCTTCATCCGAGCAGACGTATGCTTAGACCTTTCCGTCAATGGCGGGGAAGTGAACAAACACTGATTTTTGCAAAGCTTCATCGCTGTCAAGCCAGACGGTGTCCAGCGTGGCCTCGTTGGCGACATCATCTCCCGCTTCGAGAAGCGTGGCTACAAGCTTGTCGCCATCAAGCTCGTCACTGCCTCTAAGGAGCACCTCGAGAAGCACTATGAGGACTTGAGCTCCAAGCCATTCTTCAAGGGCCTTGTTGCCTGTGCGTAGAGAAAGCTGGCATCATTTGGAGCGACTGATCACTAATAATGGCAATAGACATGGGCAGCGGCCCCATCTGCGCCATGGTCTGGGAGGGCCGTGACGCTGTCAAGACTGGCCGTGTTCTCCTCGGCGCTACCAACCCACTTGCCTCGTCGCCAGGTACCATCCGTGGTGACTACGCCATTGTAAGTTTGAATCTCATCAACGCCTCATCTCGCATGCTGACAATTGACTCCTTAGGACGTCGGTCGCAACGTCTGCCACGGTTCCGATGCCGTCGAGTCCGCCCAGAAGGAGATTGCCCTGTGGTTCGATAAGAGCGAGATCCAGAGCTGGAAGTCTGCCAACCACGAGTGGGTCTACGAGAAATAGATGCAGAATCATATTGACAAGTAACGTGACAAACGAGCACATGCTGGCACGGTACAGCGATGGATAGAAAAAAAAGAGGACAAGGCACACACGCTTCGCAGCATTCGAGACGGCAGATGGACATGCTTGCTCAATTCTGTCTACCTCTAGAGCACGGCATGTAACGTCAAAAATGCGACACGTTGATAAGCCAGCCACCCGCTTTGGGTATGCACACCAATATCAATTCATCACCTCCAGTCCGGGAACACGACCATGCGACTTCGTTGTAATGCTATTTGGCAAGAACTGACTTCTGATACTAAGGCTCGGCATCGCAAATCATCATGCTAGCAAGCTCCATTTCAAGAAACTGGTCCTCGCCTTCTGGTGGCTCGCCCATTTCGGATGGGTCGCAATCCATGTCTTGATCACTCTCACATCCAGAATCTCGATGCGCGGAAGCTCGGTCCTCATCTTCGTCCAACATCGAAGTGTCGTCTTCGTTGGACAAGTCTATCATGCTGCTAGCATCTGAACTCTGACACTCGCCAGGGGAAACAGCATCATTCATGATCTCGTCAAAATCACTGCGAACATGTTGCTGGAGATATTCGTCTAATAGCAGGAGCTCATCGATATCGGACGTAGCAATCAAGCAGAACATGAATGGCGTGCTTTCTCGAAGTCGCGACATCATGCCATCCTCGTATTCGTCGACATGAGCTTTCCGCAGCGCCTCCAGCTCCCGCAGCTCATCTGTTGTCCAGCGCTCGACACTTCCTGAGAAAATCAAGCTTTCAGCTCTTTCAGTCATGTGTGCCACGAGGTTCTGATGGAGTTCTTCGCCGCTCCTTCCTTTCGAGAACCGGCTATTGCGCAGGAATTCCAAGATACAGCTCACTAGCCTCTGAACATGGCAGCGACACGGTATCCCGACCGCATATGCAGTTCCGACGTCGCGATCCATCATTTGGACAAGATTGCAGCAGCCAGGTTTGCTGAGAGCGTGGGCTATGAAGTGCTCGCTTGCGTTTCCAGTGCAGATTACGGTTCGCCGTGAGCCATGAAAAGGCATTCTGCAGTGGAAAATGGGAACAGAGTACAACGCTAGAGGCACACGGCTGGGCCAAGTACAGTCACAACAACTTCTCGACATTCTGAAGATACTGCAATTGTCTCCTCGGAGGCAATTGATCTTCAAGGTCAAGTAAGACATGCTTGGAAACAGCTCGAGCTGTGAACCCTTTCGATCAGTGCCTGACAAAGACAAAGCTTTTGAATTGGGACTTGGCTGCATGCTGCAGCTCTACCTTCTCGACCGCCAAATAAGACATTCCGGTATATATCTCACCTTCAACGAGCGGGCATCGTCCTCCTCTGCTCTCGATTCGAGCAGGTGGAATTCTCCTGGGGAAGTCACAGCTCGGAGGATGGGGAGTGCATTTTCTGCCTGTTGCCGACTTCCCTTCCCTGCGACCAGGAAGAAGTCGAGACAAAGCTTGCTGCAGCTACACTCCGCCGTCTTCTTCTTTTTCCAACCACAACACTAAGAAACATACATTCCAGACGATTCCGGACAGATCATCCAAGCTTTCTATAACACAAGCCTCGCCATCGTATCTCGTTCAACAACCTGGTATCGCCGTTCATCATCGTTCGAGCTCGTAGGTTACCGTATTGCTGGTTGTCTTCATCATTCCTCCGCGAGAGCTCACGACCGTCTTTCGCTACCGACCTTGCATTTCTCCAAATCCCTATTTTGAGCGCTCTGCGAGCGCATGATACAGGAGCAACTCACCAGACATACCATGGCATCAAAGAAAAAGGCGGAACCAAAGCCACACTTGCTGCCATATATCAAGAAGGAAGAAATTGAGTCCAATCTGCCGTCAAATGCCCTTGACAGCTTCAACGATGCTGATCACAACCCTGTTGGCAATCCCGAGGTCTTTCCAGGCGATTCCAATAATATCCTTCTGGCTGCGGTGTCCACGGCTTCTACGCTGTCCATCGTTCCGACAACAGAAGCGCCGCGGCCATTGCCTCCCTTCGACAAGGATTTTCCTCCAGTGATTTGCCAAAAAATCTACAAGTTTTACATGGAAGCCGTCCGCAATATCTCAATGGAAGAATCCGCAATCTCTCAACGGAAGTCGAACGCCATCTCTCATTGATATCTGGTCAAATCGACACGGCTCACATCGAGATTTCGATGCATAAACCCGGGCACTTACACCGTCGCAGCCGACCTGAGCTGTACCGCATGAGGCCGAGGGCTTGGTCCAAGATCACATATAAGCAGAAAGACAAGAGCAATCCTCAGATGTGGGACCGTCAACTCAAGAGATGGATACCACGTCCACCAACTCCTATCGCACTGCTTCTGACCTCGAAGGAAATCTACCACGAAGCACTTCCCTGCCTGTACGGCAACGGGACGTTCGAGTTCAACTCGTTACGAGAGCTCAAACTCATCCTTCCAATGCTTGGCGCAGGCCGGAAGGCACTACGGTACATTTCCGTTCTCGAAGGTGTTGTACCGGGCAATGCCTTGCGCGAGACTGTATCGGTGCTTCAAGCTTGCAAGGACCTTCGTATGTTTGAGCTTAGTCAACAGTCCATCTGTGGGCATGGTTACACCTTCAGCCTTGCGAAGGAGGCCACGCCAGCCTCTTTCTTCGAGTGCATCTCGCCTCTTATCAAGGTCTTACACTATTCATATAAGGTCGACCATCCCAAGTGGAATGTCTTAGACGTCTTGAAATTTAGCGACTCGTGTACTGTTTGCGGACAGAATAAGGATCTTCGCAGGGAGCTGAAGGCGTTGATTGCCCGAGACCTCGACATCACGTACGATCCAAAAGAAGACAGGCCATGAGTCGCAACACCTGCATGAGGGCGTGGACTATGATGGTGGCTTGGAGAGCACTGGGGTCTTGTGGCGAGGATGAGAGATGATCTGGTGGAAACGTGCTTCTAGACGAAGTTTGTTGCAGCGCGTGCATAGCTCTCTTCGTTCGTACCAGTTGTCTACTCATATTCAGAAAACATCAAAGGCGACCACACTTTCCACCTGACCGTATAACGATACATGTATACTGTCTATCGCTGCATCTCGCTTACCATGGATCATTTCCAATGCTCAGTATCAAGATGATCCTGCAGAGTATCACTCACCGAAATCCCGCTCCCCTCGAACCCAGAATTGAGACATCGTCATATGCGGCGCCGAAAGAAAACGGCAATACCTTTATGTTGACTATCGATTCCATCTCCCTCCCTTTCTTCGTCTTACAAGACATATATGAAATCCTCATTCTTCAAATCCGTAGTATCATGCAAAGCCAAATCATTCTCCACTTCCTCCAGAACCTCCTCTCCTCGAACCTTCTGCATGGACCTATCGACCAAATCCCGAGGCTTTCCCAACTGTTCTCTTCGTCGACCGTGATGGACGTTCAAAAGGTTTAAATACATGCAGATTAAGCTGTGAAGCAAGAGCGTCAGCATGTGAAAATCTCAAAGCAAGGGTTCGGAGTTGAGTTTAGTTACCCTGCTAGAACTGCGACTAAGATGAACATGCTCAGACTTGAGAGGAGACCTTTGTGGTATAAGGGTGCTTGGGAGGTACTGTACATTTGTGGACCGATGACCTGGATTGGAGATTTGGTTAATGAGGGGACTATTGAGGAGGGTTGAGTGATACGTACATTGCCGGTACACATTCCGACGACGAGGACGGCAGTCGTGCATTTTCTTTTCGTGTCGCCGGCTGTGTTTTGGGCTTGCCAGGCGAAGAGGAGTGGGGTTATGCCTGGGAACAGAGAGGTCTGATTTTTCTTTAGCAGCAATCACATACATATATCATGAACGCCAACGTACCAAGTACCATCCAAAGAGCAGAATCCCTCGGTTTCCTGGAGTATGAGGGATTTTGAGCATTACTATTATCCCGGCTATTGTTGGAATGCAGAGGAGTGCGATGACTAGACCTTTCGAGCGGAATTTCGTGGCTAGCCAGCCGCCTCCTAGGGTGACGATGATTGTCACAGCGCCGAAGGGGAGATTGAAGAGGATTGTTTGGAATTTGTTGTAGCCGAAGGACTTGATGATGAGGGAGCCGAAGGTGCCCATGCCGCCGCTTGGGATACTGGTTCGGGAAATTCAGAATCCTGTGGTCTTTTCGCAGAAATTAAGGAGGACTTACGAAACTGCTGCGATGATGAAAAACCAGCAGTATGTCTTGAGATCGTAGAAGACCTCATAAACATGATCCCATCGCCACTTTCGAGTGACAATGCCCATTTGGTTTGATCGCAAACGTTCCACAGCGACGATCTTCTCGGGTTCAGTCAGGAATTTCGCTGTCATTGGGGAGTCTGGCATCCATATGAAAACGCTGATGGAGTACACTACGGTAAGCAGGCCGCAGAAGAGGAATATGATCTGTCGAAAGCGGATTAGCTCCGTGCACAATTCGCTTCTGAGTACAGCGGCTCGCGCATACCTGATATGGGAAGAGTGTTTTGCTGTGGATGTGGCCTAGACCATACGTGAAGAGGCTGCCCACCTAGCAGATCTCTCAGTGATATGCAGATAGGGTATGCTGAAGATCGGGGACGATCTCACAATCAGTGTTACGCCGTTCATACTTGTCCAGAACATTGTTCGATGAGTCTGCTCGCTACGACGCCACCACATCTGCGTGACAGCAATACATGAGGGTGCTGTTGGAGCGAGCCGGTCAGACTTGGTGTGGTCGAGTTAGTGGTTCGTCAAGCTCACCGATCAAGGATTCAAACAATCCAAGCATGAATCGAAGCGCGAGTAGAGACCGAAAGTTTGTGCAAGCGCACATGATGCACAATGTCGAGCCCCATAAGAACACAGCTGAGGCGATCACTTTGCCAGTCGGCAGCTTGACCAGTACAAAGGCCGCAATAGGTTGTGCGACCAACTGAGCCAAATACAGGATCGAGCCAAGCCAGGAATATTGTTTTCCGACCAGATGTGCATCTTGGACGATTCCGAACACGGAGGTGTAGGATAGTGTTGACTTGTCCAGCTGCTGGAAGAAGTAGGCTGCAAGTATGATGGGTAGAATGCGTGCATCGACTTTTCGCCGAACTGCCTTCTCTTCGTCCGCTGAAAGGGTGACTCTACCGCTGGCCTCCGCTTGCTTCAGGAAGATGGCAGCGGCGTCTGTAATAGGCGATGATGGTGTCCTCGCAGGCTGGATGGTGTCGACTCGCTCGACCGCAATCTTGTCGGCTGTTTTTTCAGTCATCTTGGCGGCCTCGTGGAGAATCAGGATCAGAGGTGGGAATATAGAGCGAGATGTACGTAGCAGGGCTGTATCGCTGGCTCGATGGTGTAACAGCGGTGCCATCTCAGGCTAATATCTGGACGGAACCACAGCCAACCGGAACTCAAGTGCAGATGTTTACCTTGGATACACAAACCCGTAGTACTGACTACGCAGCTCCTACAACAAGAACATCCCTGGAATCAAACCAGCGGCAGACTATAGACGACTACTACCTCGCAGAACTTCGGATGTTGATTTCCTGCCGTGTAGTGAATACCCCGCAGAATACTTAATGTCGTCCGGGTCCCAGTCGAACTCTGAGCTGACTACCGCGCCTAATCTCAACTTTCAAGGCTCATCGCAACAAGATATCTTGATTATTTATGCATTTGATGTTGAGACACGATAGATCCTAGTACAGTCATCCGGATTTCATCTGTCAAGCCGGGTTGTGATCTGTCGAAGCACGATGGCATAGAAGGAGAGTGAGTGTAGTGTAGCTGCCAGGATGGAGAGGAGAAGTCGAGGCGAAATGCCAAGACACAAGCTTTCGCCGCGCCAAGCACGGTCTTCGACCGCAAGTACTCCTACGTCGCTATACAATCATCCGAACGAGCGACATCTGCATCATGCGGTTTGCAAGCTCCGAAAAAAGCCATACTGGGCTCGGACGCCTAGAGCCTCACAGACTTCATCCGGGCATCCTGGCAAAGACAATTTCTGAGCAGCTCGTCGAGCTCACACCGTGTTTTCACCGCGCTGCTGGATCTTGATGGCAAACGCATAAATATTGTTCTGGATAGATTGATGCGCATGAGCTCGCGGCGTCCCGAACTGACGGATTTCAATGGCTGCAGAAGTACCTCGCAGACGCTATGCTCTCATAGGCACTGGAGGCCGTGCATCATTTTACTACACAAGCATTGCCAATGACTTCCAAAACACATCGGAGCTCGTTGCTTTCCTGGACACCAACCAGACGCGCATGAACCATGCGAATGAAGTCCTGATATCTCTGGGACACAAGCCGCTCCCAACATATCTACCATCATGCTTCGCACAAATGGTCGCGGAGACCAAGCCAGATGAATTGATCATCACCACAATAGACCGGACCCATGTCTATTACATTCGGCTCGCACATTCTTACGGGTTAAATGTCATCACCGAGAAGCCGATGACTATTGATGTGCCATCGATCAGCGAGATACTCAACTCAGTCCATAGCACTGCAAAACGTGTTCGGGTGACGTTCAACTACCGGTATGCACCTCACAATACGAAGATTTACCAACTGCTTTCATCTGGTGCTATCGGCAAAGTACACGCCATCCACTTCGAATGGATGTTGAACACATCTCATGGAGCAGACTACTTCCGGCGTTGGCATCGAGACCGTTACAACAGCGGTGGCCTTCTTGTGCACAAATCGACGCACCACTTTGATCTTGTCAATTATTGGCTGCAGTCGAGACCAGAGACAGTCTTTGCCATGGGCGACCTCAAATTCTATGGGAAAGCAAATGCGGAAAAGAGAGGAGTATCCCGCTTCTACAACCGCAGCCACGGCCATCTCAATTCGAATGCTAAGGACGACCCTTTCGCGCTCGACCTGTCAAGCAATGCGACATTGAAAAGTATGTACCTTGACGCCGAGCATGAGGATGGCTATTATCGTGATCAGAGCGTATTCAGCGACGGCATCAGCATCGAGGACACGATGAGTGTGATGGTAAGGTATCGAAGTGGCGCTGTCATGACGTATAGTCTGACTGCGTACTCACCACTCGAAGGCTTCAGAGTCAGCTTTACAGGAGACAAAGGCAGGTTGGATGTTGAAGTGATAGAGCGGAGTTATATCAATGCGGGCGGTGAGCAGAGCATGGAGGGTGCTCTGGAGAAGCAGTCTATTATTCTTCGACCCATGCTCGGTGAGCCGCAGAATATCGATATTACCAGTGGAGAGGGCGGACATGGTGGTGGAGATCCGGTTCTTCTGAGAAGCTTGTTCGGCAACGAAGATGGCGAGGATGAGTTCAAGAGATCGGCTTCGCACATTGATGGTGCGCTTTCGATCTTGACAGGCATAGCTGCGAACAAGTCGATCAGCACTGGTATGCCGGTAAAAGTGGATGATCTGATCGAGGTCAGCTAGCATGGATGGTTTGTTCTTCGACTTGCTAGAGCGACGCAGCTTCTCCGACTGCGGAAAGGGGTGATTTGTTGTGTTCACATGCTATTGCTCGGGAAGCACATGCCTTGAGTGAATCATTGTGACGGCAGGCAGTCCTTGGCGCGTCTCGTGAATTTCTGCCTGGAGATGCCTAGAAAATGGTCTTCCATGACACCGTTTCGACCATCGACATCCAATCGCGCATCTGCTCGCAAAGTGCAAACACGAAATCGACGCGACGCGACGCGACGCATCCTTGCCACGCTTGGCCCGTTCTCAGACGCTAATTTGTGGGTACGATCCGTGCCACAGCGCAAGCGAGATCTTGCCCCTGCGTGCGTGTGCAGGTGGTTGCACATCATCATATTCAAGCACTCGTTGTTCGACTTCGTCTTGCAAGGAGAACATCCGATGTCCGACACGGTCTCGCAGTGAATGCGACATTGATTCAAGCCAAGACAAAACTTCCAGGCAGCACCGGAACTGTCATGGCGCGGCCGGCCAGAGCTGCCTCAGGGCGTGCGCGTGGGCGTGGGCGTGGGCCTGCTACTAGCTGTATGCCACTGCTCTTCAATACTGCTCTTCAATACTGCCTTGCTTAACATCGTCTGCTGCTACCTTGAAGCAAAGTCCATCGCTGACCATATCTCCAGCTGCTGCAGGGTCTCAGAGTGCTACAGCTCCAGCGACAGGGCGACGATCGAACGGCCGCAACGCCCTCGCCTTCGCCACCTCCCGTCCAGCGTCGTCCATCGCAAATTCCCCCGACATAGATTCCGACGACGACAGCACCGTCGCAGCGGCAACATCAAAAAGCACCAGAATTGTACAGGGCGTTGCCTTGCCACGTCTTTCCGTCATGGCGCGTGCCGAGTTCAAGAAACCGCTACCGAAGAGCAACAAGAGTCCAACGGATTCCTCCCTCTCTGCCATCGACGCCGATACTTCGCGAGACTCATCTATAGACTACGAGACACCAGGAACCACACCAGCCACATCTGTCCTCGCTGGACCCTCTACATCGAAGCGCAAGCGATCTACGCTTGGAAAGGTGGTCAAGATTGAAGACTCGGAGGAAGACGAAGATGACGACTTTCTCCTGGCAACTAGGCTGCAAGAAGAGGAGTACGCGAAGGAAGGTGCACAGCAGCCAGCCAAGAAGCGCACGAAGCTCTCCATCGATGATTCAGAGGACGATCTGAGTATGTTTAGTGATGCTGAATCTCTCTCCTCTATCGACTCGATGCCGCTGGTCGCCAAGTCAAAATTGGTCGCGAAGAAGACGACTCCAGCCAAGGCAGAGGCGTCTCGGAGTAATAAGAAGACTCCGACTCGCACAGCGAGTTCCACTGGTCGCAACTCTATTGGCAAGAGCTTGAAGAAGCCAATCTTGGATGACAGCGACGAGTCTGATCTGGAGAAAGCTAGCATCGCCGAAACTGAGGACTCGTTTGTGGTTAGTGACTCCGAGGAGGCGGTTTCGACCATCGACGGTGTTAGTGATACCGAATCTGACGTACCGCTTGCCATCACTACTCGACCTCAGACCGTAGCTGCACCCAGCCGGTTCGCGGGTTGGACTCGCGGCCGCGGCAGTGCCGCTCGTGGCCGGCGACATGGTCGGGTCAGTGCTGCTGCCGCCAGAGCTATGGCAGAGGACATTGAAGATATGGTCATGGGCGAGATCCTCTCTCGCAAAGACAAAGAGCGCAAGAAGCTCGAAAAGTCACACCCGGAACTCAAGACAATGTGGAAGGATCTTGAACAGATCCAGGTTATCAAGCCAGTGCAAGCTGCACAGCCTACGAGCATCACCCGCCGCCTCAAGCCATTTCAGCTTGAAGGTCTTGATTGGATGGTGAAGCAGGAGCAGACTCAGTACAAGGGTGGACTTCTTGGCGACGAGATGGGTATGGGCAAGACGATTCAGGCCGTCTCGCTCATCATGTCCGACTATCCGCAGAAGGAGCCCACGCTCGTTCTTGTTCCGCCCGTCGCATTGATGCAGTGGGACGCCGAGATCACCGAGTATACTGACGGCAAGCTGAACGTTCTGGTCTACCACGGCTCAAACACCAAATGCAAAAAGATGAAAGTCAAGGATCTGAAGAAGTTCGACGTTATTATGATGTCCTACAACAGCTTGGAGTCGATGTATCGAAAGCAGATCAAGGGCCATGGCCGAGGAGAGGACCTTGTCCGCGCAGACTCCCCCATCCACGCAATCCACTTCCATCGCATCATTCTCGATGAGGCGCACAGCATCAAGGCTCGAGATACTGGTGTCGCAAATGCTTGCTTCGCTTTGCAAGGCACTTACAAGTGGTGCCTTTCGGGTACGCCAGTCCAGAACCGTATCGGCGAGTTCTTCTCCCTCCTTCGCTTTCTCGAGGTTCGGCCATTCACCGATTACTTCTGCAAGGAGTGCCCGTGTTCTATCATGCAGTGGAAGAAGGACGGAAATCACAATTGCGTCAACTGCAAGTGTCGAATGATGTCGCACGTGTCTGTCTTCAACCAGGAACTTCTCAATCCTCTCACAGAGGCTGAAGACGCTTCTGTTCGTAGCGCTGCTATGGCCAAATTGCATATGATCACGGCGCGTATCATGCTCCGTCGTATGAAGCGTGATCATACTGCCTCCATGGAACTTCCTCCGAAAGAAGTCATCATCCACAACGAATTCTTCGGCGAGATCGAGCGCGACTTCTCATCCAGTATCATGAGCAACACTACACGCCAATTCGACACTTACGTCGCCAAAGGTGTCATGCTCAACAACTATGCCAATATTTTCGGCTTGATCATGCAGATGCGTCAAGTCTCGAATCATCCGGACTTGCTTCTGAAGCGACATGCCCAGCAAGGCCAGAATGTCCTTGTTTGTAACATCTGCGACGAGGTGGCTGAGGATGCTATCCGTTCTCAGTGCAAGCACGACTTCTGCCGCGCCTGTGTCAAGTCCTACGTTCAATCAGTTACAGACGATGATGGCGACGCCGACTGTCCTCGTTGCCATATTGCTCTTGCTATCGACTTCGACCAGCCAGAAATCATCCAGGACGAAGATGTGGTCAAGAAGTCATCTATCATCAACCGCATCAAGATGGAGGACTGGACGTCTTCAACGAAGATCGAGATGCTCATCTACGATCTCTACAAGCTGCGCTCGAAGAAACAGACGCTCAAGTCCATCGTCTTCTCGCAATTCACATCCATGCTGCAACTGATCGAGTGGCGATTGCGTCGTGCTGGTTTCAACACCGTCATGCTTGATGGGTCCATGACGCCAACTCAGCGGCAGAAGAGTATTGACCATTTCATGAACACGCCAGATTGCGAGATCTTCCTGGTATCCCTCAAGGCTGGTGGTGTTGCTCTCAACTTGACCGAGGCGTCTCGCGTCTTCATCGTCGACCCTTGGTGGAACCCAGCCGCAGAGTGGCAGTCCGCAGACCGTTGCCATCGTATCGGCCAACGACGTCCTTGCGTCATCACTCGTCTCGTCATCGAAGATTCTGTCGAGAGTCGTATCGTCATGCTTCAAGAGAAGAAGGCGAACATGATCAACAGCACTATCAATAACGATAAGGGTGCTATGGAGAAGCTCACTCCAGAGGACATGCAGTTCCTCTTCCGCGGCAATTAGGCTGCTAGGCATTGCAACGCCCGCGACATGTACGATCACCAGAATTAGCTACGCAGCGCTTTTGTAAGAACAGGAAGAAGAATGTAGAGATGACACGATATGGCTGATACCAGCGCTTCAAGTAGCTAGAGAATAGAAGAGCGCAGAATTGAGACGCATGATACCCATACGTTAACCATTGGTTTACATCAACCTTCTCTCTTCTTTGATGCATTTTAAACCTGCCATCACATCCAGCTCTCTAACCCCCTCCATCACAACTTCGCCCTATCAAACCCACCCTTCGTCCCCACCATTTTCAAACTCATCGGAGCCCTCATCAACCCCCCTCTCCCCCAACATCTTATCAAAAGCCGTAAACTCTCGACTCGACCCATGACTTTTCCAAACCCGCCTGATCCGCATCTTCACGAGCGCGAGCGTCAGCGAGTCAAACGACTTCGTGATGTGTTTTACTCACCCTCTCAACTATAAATAACTATCTCCTCCTCCTCCGCATTCCTATCAAGTTTGAGCGAACGATTGATTTCATAACGTAATAAGAACGAAAGGTTCGGATTTTTGGACGTGGGGGGTTGAGAGGTTGGTTAGGAACTAGAGAAGGAAGGAGGAGGAGAAGAGGAAGAGAGATGTATAGGTAAGGAGGAAAGACAGACATACTTTATCGGTTTTGCCTTAGAAGGGTTGCGATGATGTTGAGTTCCTTTGAGGACATTTTTGCGGAGAATTAAATTGGGAGATTGGTAAAGGGTGGGTGGAATGAACTGGAGTTTGTGTCAAATGGTGGAATGATTCTGAAGTGAGGTCGTGATCTGTCTTGGTGGTGGTGGTGGCGTATTAGGCTTATCGAGCTCGTCTTCCTGTCTTTCACTCTTCCTACAACAAACAAGTGATATTGTGATTTCTAGAAGTGCAATGGCGAGGATTGCTTTCAATGTTGCCGAAAACACCGCGCTGTGTGTATCATATCATCAATCCGAAACCCATCAACGCTCCTATTTATCTACCCCCTTCAAAACTTACATCAAGCCTTACCACATATCGCCTCGCTTTGCGCGTTGTCTCTCTTCCAAACGCCCTGTGAATCCCCTTGCCTCTCCACCTCCCTTATACGCTTACAACTTCGGCTCTAGCTCCTCAAACTCCGTAATGTCCTTCACCGGTACAGGCCCAGCAGATAATGGCAAGCTAGCCTTGAAAGCTCGCACATCCTTGATTTGAACAAGCTTGTTCTTCTTAAACTCGAGCGTTTCAGTGCTGGCATTGCTACCATTCGTGCTAATTTCTTCCTTTGGCGTAGGCTGATGCTTGGCCACAATTCCAGCAGCAGGTAGAAGCTGTGGGAGAGCAATTTCACCTTGAGCGAGAATTTGGCTGATGACTTCTTCCGGCATGCCATTGGCGGCGAGGTATGCGCCAACAGCAGACAAGATGGTCGGCACATCGCCATCGGCAACGTTGACCTTCTCGAATTCTGCTACTAGGGCAGCCTTGTCCATGCCCGGAGCACCTTGCAGCATCTGCACCAGCAGCTTGTCGATCTCCTCAGCAAGCTTCTCTCGCTGGTCTGCCGGGTCCATCTTGGCAGCAATATCTTCAGGTGAGGATTGCGCAACAAGATGAATGGCGTACTTTTGGCGCTCACATGAGCCTGGGAGGAACTTCCTTTGGTAAAATTCGAGTAGCTCGTCCTTGGTCAGAGTCTCAATGTGTTCCACGTCGCGGTAGACAAGATCGAAGTCGAACTGCTCAGAGCAGATATGGTGCCAGAGACGTGCACTCTCCTGGCTCAGATTCTTCAACTTCTCCAGTCGCTTGTTGATCACACTGATCTTGTGCTCCTGGAAATCTTTATCGGACATATCTCGCAACTGCTGCTCGAATTTGACCAGGAAGCTGTCAGTACGCTGCTCCAGATAGTCGCAGTCTTTTTCACTCTGGATCAGAATCCGATAGCCGATCTTGGCGATCAAGATGAGGGCACCACCGCCAACAATGTATCCAAGCTGTTCCTTGGTGCGCAGAGTGTCGAAGACAGGTTCCGTGAGCATCTGGTCGAGTAGCAGAGCCTTTGCGCGTACATCCCTCTCCTGAGCATTGCCGAGAAGAATGCTATACTCCAGGCAGTGATTCACGTTCTCCGGGTTCTTCAATGTATGCTCGTAGACATAGTCGACACCACATGCGAACTCTGTAGTACGATTGATTTCCCACTGACTCTTGGGAAGTGGCTGTGGTTTGAGGGTGGCTTCCACAAGATTGGAGATGCGTAAAGCATCCTCCTTGTAGAGATTGCCGTGAGCAAGAATTTCGATGTGGCTCTGGCGCAGACATTCCTTTCCAAATCGGCGTACGTCCTCAATGGTGACCGAAGGCAATTCTTCAATGTAGTCCAGCTGAATCCAATGCTTGTCTCGAGCAATCCACTGAGAGAAGCGTCCAATCTGTCGGTAAGGATCGGCATATTCGGAGTTCTTGAAGCTACGGAGCGCACGCTCTTTGATGATCTCGAAACGATCCTCCTTGACCTCATGATCGCGCAACGCGATGAGCACTTTTTCGAGCAGCACATGCATCTTGTCGTTGTAGCCACTAACAGTGAGCTCAAGCCTGCCTGCAGATCTGTAGACCACATATTCGAGACCGGCAAGCTCGGCATCGTAGGCATACTCTGTCAAGCTGTCGTCCACAAGATCCTTGTACAACATTGCTACTACGGCCGTGAAAGGACTGGTCTCGGTAATAGAGTTCCGTAGAGCGACGTGAACGTTTGCTTTCGGTACCCAGAACTGGTCATCCTTCTTGAACCATAGACGCACATTGCGGTCATTGCGGAGCAGCTTTGGCGTCGTGGCTGGCGCAGAGACCTCTTTCTTCTCCACGTCCAGTCTTTGAGGAATAAACTCGTTCTTGGCCGGCAGATGAAGCTCTGAAGGCCGTTTGGCAGGTGTCCGGATGATCTCGATGAGGTCGGCCATGAGATCGTTAGGGATGCGCTCCATCTTATACTGTGTTCCATACCACTTCTCCTTCTTGTCCCAAAAATCGGCCGGGAAATCCTGAGCACTAAGAGTGAAACGGAAGTTTGATGGGGTCAGACAGTCAAGACCACGCTGGATGGCCTCTGGGTCGAACTTGCGTATCAAGGCTTGGCCGCTGAGCAGCTTGTCGCGTGGAAGCGGCTTCTGCATGACACCGCTCAAGTGGCTGGTTGTTCGTGAAGCTGGGATCTTCTGACGGAATCGGAACTCGATCTCGCTGAGTTGAGCTTGCTCATCTGCGATCCACTTGTGCGGAGGCTCAGCCTTGAGCATAGAAATGTATTGAAAGGTAGCCTTCACAATCTCCTGGTAGTTTGCGAGTCCTTGTGTCGTCAGTCGCATGCCAATCGTGAAAAAAGCAGCTCCGGGGCACACAGAGCTGGCACCTGCGCTGAGCTCGCTAACCCATCCCTTGGCTTTGAGGTATGCCAGAAGGCTGCCTGGTCCTTCGTGGCCCACCAGATGAGAGATGTAGCGAGACGGCTGAGACTCATACAGATCTTCTTCGTCGGGGTATGGGAAGGTTATTTCCATCGTCCTTTGGTCCATGACTGGTTTTGCGAAGATCTGAGTGCCGAGCTCTTTTTCCGTCTGGACAGGAATGCCATCCCATCTCAGCTTGGGGAGATTCTTATTTGGCACGTCGGAGAAGAGCTCTTCCGTCCAGGCTTGTAACTCGTCCAAGCTTTCTCTGCCCAACACAGCTAGCTTCATTCGATTCGCAGAATATTGCTTTTGATAGAACTTGATGAACTCCTCGCGAATCTTGACTCCTCGCTCAATAGGCTTATCGTGTAAAATATCGTAATTGCCGGTTGCAAACAAATGGTATGGATGGTGAGGGCTGGAGGTGGCCTTGTTCAGCTGCATCATGCGCCAATTGTCGGCTTGTAAATTCTTCTTATTTTCCGAGTCCACAGCTCGCAGCTCGCGGTCTAGGGTAGCCTCAAGAAACAACGGCGCAACAAAGAATTGTGAGAATCGATCAAGCGCGCCATATAGAGGAGCTTCGTGCTTTTTGATCTTCGGCAGAGGCAGACTGGCTTGACTCGTACTGGCGGAAGAGCTTGGGCTGTTGGATGTGGATGACGAAGAGAGCTCGAAATAGTAGTTGGTCGATGTGGGAGCAGTGAAGGCATTGCTGTAGCCACCATACTTGCTCAGATATGCGTTGTAGTCGTTCTCGCCGGGGAACTGTTTCCGCACGTGTCAGTGTATCCGCGCCGCGCCTACCCAAATTGAGTTCTCGCTTCTGCCCGGAACATGTGCTCACCTTCTCTGTGCCCATAAATAACAAGTGCTCGACCGCATGCGCCATTCCCTGCATGTCTTCGGGGTCTGCTAAGCTGCCCACGTCGACGTCCATGGCGGCAGAGGCCTTGTCTGTATCTGGATCGTGTATGAGCAGGGCCTCTAGCTTGTTTGGCAGTCTTATCACTCGATATGATCTGTTGTCCAACAATGGCTTCTCGAGTTGATCTGCCAGACGCTCGGTGTCCATTGGGCCCTCAGGCCGGCTCTGCAGTATCGGCATGGCGTCTGTAGTCATTGTTCTGGACTGTCGAGGCAGGGTCAAGCCAGTGGACGGAGGTATACAGCTACGGAGTGAACGACGAGAAGGCAAACAGGGCGTATGTCGAGGGTGGAAGGTTGGTTGGTAGGGCGAGGGCGAGGGCGAGGGCGAGGTCGATGCGGACCGTAGGCGTGGGAGATATGGTAGATATGGTGCTGGTTGGCGTCTTATGGCGACAGCGGGGCAGGCTGCGAATGAGAATAATGAGAGTGAGAGTGAGGATGCAGTCGCACGGCGAAGTGGCAACAAGTGACAGATGGGTAGGACTGGTGGTGGGTGTAGCAGGCAAAAGATTGTACGAGCCGCAGCCGGACGCGCAGGCATGTCATAGCTCTTCCTATTGTGTTTGAGTCTTAAGCGTGTCAATGCCAAGAAGCACCGTGATGGTTCGCAGCGCCGCCGCCGCGCCACACGTGTCCCGAAAGTTAGTTCTATTGTATCGATAAAGAATTCTCGAGCGCCGACCAGGAAAGGTGGACAAGACGGCGCGCATGTTCGCCTGTGAGTTGTCTGTGCGGTGGTGCTGCTGTTGTAACGTGTCGTTGTCGTTGTGGCATCCCGTCCTCCCCGAAAGCACAACCGTCTGGCCACCACTGCCACGCCAGCTGTCGAATAACGATGCTGGATGTTTGCTAGAATCCACTTTGAGCAACACAGCACACTTGGCATGCATTTCTGCATACCATCAAACCTGCAGCCCTATAATACAAACCACCTCTTTAGGGCATCTGAGAAAGCAGTCATTGCTTGATATTCTAAACGACGCGACGCGACCCGTTCATCAAGGTGCTCACTCCTGAGATGAACAACACATTATTTTGGGCGTGAAACAACACTACCACCGTTTGTGTCCGTGATGATAGCGTCGAACGCGTTGCTGGTATCATGTCTGCCACCTGTTATTGTTTTATTGCACTGCTACTTGAATGGTCAGTACACCGGCCCGCCTGCCGGAATCTTTTCTTAACTACTGTCGGGGTGTCTGCCACCGCTCGGGCACCAGCATCAGCTGTGGAATACTCCGATCCCTGCCTGCGCGATATTATTAAATCTCTTGATACCCAACAGCTCGCACTCAGGTGATGAAGATGTCCTCGGCCCTCTTGCTGCCGTTACGCTCACCGCAGTCCGAAAGTAGCGTGTCAGCCTTTCCTCAACAACAAGTAACGACCTCGGGAAGCACGCGATATCGAGAAACTCTGCTCTCGACACTCGGACTCGATCAGAGAATTTCTGTCTGCCTTGGAACTGTCAAGAATGCGTACATGTGATCTCGCTGTGACTTCTCGTACGACCGAGCAGATGGAAAACTTTAACTACGTCAGATCAGTCAGCTACTGTGATGAAAAGACCACCACTGCTCGCTACTAATTGCCTACTATGAAAATGCTCGTCAAAATGCTTGTTAGTCTCCAGGATCTGCAGACGTAACCGACTCACGGCCCGAGTGTGGCGCATGTTCGGAACCAAAGCCGAACACTCTTGACTCCGCATCTGATATAGATCCAAGTATATCAACCCACAAAGTAAATTCGAGGTAGCTCCAGCACACCCTGTGGGTTCCATATACCCCTGCAGAGTGCCCTAAAACTACCGAAATTAGTATACAAATCGGGGTATTGCAAACACCCCTTATACAACCTAATTACCTCGGATTTCTACCGTTCCGAATAGCCGTAATCGCTCGAAAACGACTAAGTCTACGCCTACACCTTAGCACTACCACTTCTACCGCTTAGAAGCGACAACCTCTCCTTAGATCCGTCGTTTTAGTAGTCTAATTAGTATAGGAGATAGCGTACGAGAGGATTAATCTATCCGGTACGGTTTAGGTAGTATACCTACGTATAATCTTCTACGAGCGCGTTTCGAAGGTGTTATAGGCTTACTAATTAAAGGCTTCTAACGACGAGGTTTATAAGAGCTACCTAATAGCTATAGTAGATCAATTAAAGTGTCCTTACCTAGCGACTATATAGGTAAAGAATATAGAGCTATAGATAGTACTATAGAAGGTAGTAGCTCTGCTATAGAAGGTAGCTCTACTATAGAAGGTAGTAGCTCTGCTATAGAAGGTAGCTCTACTATAGAAGGTAGTAGCTCTACTATAGAAGGTAGCTCTACTATAGAAGGTAGCTCTACTATAGAAGGTAGCTCTACTATAGAAGGTAGAAACAGCTTACTTAGTAAGGGCAAATCGTCTAGTAAGGACGATAGCAACGGCTATTAATGCCTTAATACCTCGTCGTTATCGTATTAATCACTTTTGCTAGCGTCCTTTAGCAAAGATAGCGGCAATCGACTAATTAGCGTTAATTGTAGAAGAAGGTCTATATCTAAGAGCCTATTAAATAGGTCCTTATTAACCTCGTATAGTGCGTCTTTATCTTTAGCCTAAGTAACAACGCCGTTGCTATTAGGTAGACTATAGACTAGTAGAGCGTAGCCTTCGACAATAAGGCGAGGCCGATATAGAAGGTTAGTTATAAAAGCGATAGGTACTAGTAGCAGTAGGCTATAGCAATAGAGCTAGAGCTATATAGAAGACTAGTTGCCGCAACGGCTTGTCGTTAACAACTCGCTACTTTGTAGTATAACGAGGTATTAATTCAGCCTACGGAGCACTATTCTTGAACTACTAGTCTATCTAAGCGACTCGCGAGTCGTAGCTAAGTGCTACAAAGTTAGTAACCTACTATAGAAGGGCCTTATATTGCTAACCGTCGGTAAGGTTAGAAGCCTACGAGTCGTAGAACCGGAAGAAGGCCTATAAGACTGCTTCTTGCATAGAATAGAAGTATTCCTTTACCTAGCGCTTCCGAGACACTCCTAGTGCCTTGTTAACGTAGAAGACCTATACTAACTGCTCGTCTTTAATAATAAGCTTTATATTAAGCTAGTCGGAGTAGACAAGGTTGCTGTTTAGACCTTAGAAGCGACTAATGTAGAGGCTATAACAGTGTAGTATAAGGCGACTAATTGCTTCCTTATAAAAGCGCTAAATATGCTTATAAGGAAGGTGATAGCTATACTAGAAGTAATAGAAGCACTTAGTATATACATTGTCGTCCGTAGCCGGTAGAGCTATTCGCTAAGCAGGCTTATTATTGTCTATGTCCTTATAGCACTGTATAAGCTTATCCGCTATTTTCTTCTATATAGAAAGAGGTAACCGTCGAAATTTAGAAGTCTTCTCTTAACGCTACATTAGAAGCTAGCTATTCTTATCGATAACGCTATTTTAACGGACGCGCTCGCGGATGTAGTTATCAAGCTAAACGAGGTATAGGACGGTACCTAGAATAGTTAGTTATTATTATATAGAAGAGACAAGAAGCCGTAGAAGTCTAAGAATAATACTAAAGGCCGAAAGCCAGCCTATTCTAAGGAATCCGCCCGTTCTAAGGAATGTAGTAGGACTCTATTCTTATAGAATTCCGATAGCAATAGAAGAAGGGGAAGAATACGCACCTCGTAAGCTCTATTTGCGCATCTAACGCTTGTCTCGGTGCTTCAAGTGTGCATAATAGCCCTCTAATAGACTAGTAGTGCGAACGGCTATTAAAATCGGGTCTCCGAGCCTTGCCTAAGTCGCCTAGCGATCGCTGTTAGAGGCCTTCTAATTGGCCTTTAAATAGGCTAATTCTTTACTCGATTTAGCCGTATTGTAGGTGTTGAAGGCGGCTATTGCTTAGTTAATAAAGTATTAGCATTCTTCTTAGTCTCGAGCGATAAACAGAGCCTTGCTTATTGCCTTTAAAACAGGTAGAAAGCGCTTAAAGTGCTTCTCGAGGGTCTTAATAAGGTGCCGTTAGTAGAGGCGTTAAATAATACTACAATCTATAAGACCGTAACTAACTCCGAGCTGTTTACTTACTAAGTCGTTAGTTATTAACTATAGTAGTATCTAGGAAGATTGCTTAGTATAGTTAAAGTCGTCTTAGTCTTTAGCTTTAGAAGAACAGCGGTTGGCCTAGTTGAAGAAGAAGTACTTCCTATAGCTATTAAAACCGGTTATCTAGTGTTTGTAGTCTAATTTAGCTATTTCTCGAAGGCTCGAGATTACCTTCTTAATTAGGTGTGCTTGCTCGCAATCTATAAGGAAGTAAGCCGCTAGAAGCTACTCTAGGTAGTTATTACGGACGTATATAGTTAAGAGAGGCTATTTAAGCCTATTAGTAAGGTGTGTAGAATCTAGTAAGAATAAGGACCTATAGTTACGAAGGGCTCGAAGTTGCTAGTTTGCCGCCTAAATTAGGCCTCTATAGACGAGTCTATCGCTTCTACGAGATTTAATTATCTCTACAAAGCCACTTCTACTACTGAATTTCGTAGACAAGTACTAATAAGCCTACTATAACTGCTCCTCGATAGCTAGTTTAGTACCTTATCTTCGCTTATTACTTAGTCGCTTTAGATCTTCTCGATTAGCGCTAGAAACGCGGTCTCGAGTAATGCTAACCGCACTAGCATTATACCAAATTTGCCTCTATTTAGGCCTTCGCATTTCTTTAACTAACTAAGCGACTAACGTTAAGCTACCTCGAGAAGCGATTAGGTCCTTCTATACCGCCTTTACGCTATCGTTAGTTTGTAAAGAATCGACGAATTCGAGACTATGCGAGTAGCGGTTAGTAAGCGGCTTTAATACTACGTAGACTAGCCTTATAACCGTCAAATTCGTACTTAGAGTCGAAGGCAGCGCGGCCGGTACGTAGTTATCGAGAAACTCGCCTATTTCGCGATTCGGTCGCTTCTCGTAGACCTTAATAATTACTAACTTCGCGCAATAGTCGTATATATACATCGTACGCGCTACGCGCTGTCGCTAAGGCCGTTTGCGCTTAAAAACAACCTCTCTACTATCTACGCGATTATAGTCTATATAGCGCTTATAGATACGACACTCGAAGCCGAGTCGGCGATATAACCGACCTTGCGAGTCCTTTAATAGCTTATTTAGTTAATTCTTATAATACTATATATTAGTTACGAAATGGCGGTATTCGTCGTATTTAAAGCCTTCTATCCGCAGACCCTCGCACGCCTAAATACTACTTAACTCGGCTATAGGAGGGTAGAAGAACAGGCGCCTTCGGTTATATATATTTAGTGGAAATGGGCTCTTAAACTATATACTAACTTAGCGCTATTCTCGACCTTACCGACCTTACCGACCTTATACGTACCGGCCGCTCTACCTCTAGCTTAGTAAGCAACGCTTCTATATCCTTAGGAGGCAGGTGTTTCTTATACATCGTAAAGAGCGTAGAATTTAGCGATAGTAAGGTCGAAATAAGCGCGA